GAGCTGTACCTCTAACAGTGCCAGTTATAATTCATAAGTTGAGTTCACATTAAGTTTTACTGCTCACTGATAAAGAGACAATTATATCAGCAGGAGGAAATAACTTTGCAAGTTTGTAACTAAAGTCACTGCGAAAGAAAATGTGACAAAAAGGCTCAAAGATATTGAAAGTTGACCCATCTCATCTGTATTCTCTGTGGCCTGTTTGCATAGTGAAAAAAGAGAGAATGAACAATAAAAAAGAAAGAATAGAGCTGATTTTTAAAATGAGAAACTTTTTTTTTATGGAGTGAGGGGGTGTTCTTGGTTGGTTATAATGACTCTGTTTGAGTCTGCGTTGCACAAAAGTAAAAACAAATGACAATCATGTCCTCTTCTCATCCTTCTCTGGGCACAATTATTAATACATACCAAGCTGTGACATTCTCTTTTCAAGCAGAAAGCATACTTTTTGCAATGTTCTTCAACAGTAGAAAGCTGACAACATATAGTCATCTCTGTTATCATTCTACTTCAATATCTGATATTCTGGTGATCTCGGGGACTGACACGGAACATAACATATGCATCCTCCTTATAATTCAGGATGAGAGCTGTTGGACTACCATTTTGGATGCAACTCTAACTATGTTCAAGGAATAAAACAATTCTGTCCCACTGGTCTCATACGCAGACACCCTAAGCATCTTTAAAGATAAAATTGATTGCGTCTTTTGACCTCAGTTTAACAACCTTCACATAAACCAACTCGGGTCTTTAACAGTCCATTGTAGCTTATTTCCCTGAGTACCGACAATTTAACTTGGGGTTAAAATTTGATTTTGCTGAAATGGAAATGAAGGGATTTACATAATTCACCCACTTTAAGATTAAAAAGAGTATTTCAAACTATACAACTCAACTCTCTGGCATATTACGACAGACTATTATATCTTTTTATATGAAGTAACCCATCTTTGATTTCTGTTGGTGTATGGAGTGAAAATCATGCCACTTAGTCCATGAACCAGGAAGGGCCTTTGCCAGTGAATAATCTGAAATAATGTATCTGTAGCCTAAGTGTTAATGTCGGTCCTTTTAAAACAGAAATTTACCTGCATAAATAGCAGACTCTGATTTACATTTTCTAACAAGTGATTTATCACTCTGGCCATCTAGCCAGTGAGAACTGCAAAGAAAAATGGTTCATTAGTAAAAGGCTGAAATGTACGGAAAGAAAAAAGCTAGTTAGTCGACCGACAGCCCAGCAAATAAGAGGCAAAAAATACATAAAAGCTCACAAATCTAATTATGCTTTGACACACGCTCAGGAGGAAAACCAACAATTTTAGTGGCATGCGTTTCTCAATGTAAATACAAGATGTTATTCTGTGCAAAATGCCAGTTTAAGAATCCCACCATTACTCAGCCATTATTAGCAAGGGGTCCTGTTGTGAGTAATCCAGTGTTATATATAAAATGATGTTTTCATCCCTAAAAGCAGTGTCAACATCGGGTGGCTGACAAGTGTTCTGTGGCCAGATTTCACAGTACACATCAGGCCCCTTGATGAGAGTGGATGAGCACCACAGGATATCTGAACATCACAGGCAGAAAGGAACATCCTTTTATTATACCCGCATTTGCATGGCAGCAAATGTATTTTCTCTACCAGTCAAATGCCCATACCAGAGGACCACAAATGACTCCATGAAATGGACAGAGAAATCAAACCTACTGCGCTGACCTGCTCAGTCACCAGCTTTCACAAGAGATGCCGTGGTACGAGAACTTCTGCAAAAACCTGCTACTGAGCCCCACGAGGGCTCCTTAGAGGATTCTCTGACACAGAAACCAGAGCACTACAGTAGCACTGTGCTGTTCTATGAACAAGTGGTGTTCAAGTCAGCGTGGTGTTACAGACACCAGAGAAAATACTCCGAGCTGGTGAGGTTTCTGAGTAACATCAGCATGAAATCCTACTGGTGAATGCATGCACAAGCCCAGGGCTTAGACATTAAAGTGCATGTTTAACCTGAGCCTGAAATCAAACCAGTTCCTAACATTTAAGAGCTCGACAAGAGTGGGATTTTTCACAAGATGTTTTGTGATTCCTTTCACACTAAATCTTCGATCCTGCCAGCTTTAATGACAGCAATTAACTTCGGCTCATTCCATTGCATGGCATCCTGACACGTTTTGTTCTTCATGATGAGAACACTTCTGTTCCACATGTCCAGGTACTTTACAACATGCTGACACAAAAAATAAGTCTCCTTTCAATAATGAATGATTTGATTTATGATAACTCAAACCTTTCAGACAGAGCTGTACTGAAGTAATTAATTAAATCTTCATTTAAAGTATTTAACTGGATGATTTGAAAAGAAGAAAAAACGTTTAAATTAATATTGCATGCAAGGTGAAGTACTGGTACACATGTCATGTAATTTTTGTGCTTTTTCTGGAATAAGCTTTTCGTAAGCACAGAGATGTAAAAAATTTCACTCATCACCTTGGAAACAGACAGCTTTAAGTGACAAATGCAGCATTTTGATTGATCTTGAACATCTGAGGTTCAAAGGATGGAAAGTAAAGCTGACTCACCATTTAACTTCATGGAAAACATTAAACTAAATAGCGTTTAACATGGACTTATAATCAGAATACACCGCACGGCTTAAAAGAACTCTTAGAACCAGTTTTTAAGAAAACACTAGTAACACAAGTTAGTGTTTTTATATTTTATATATAAATTAACGATTTATACATTGCTGATAAGGAAAAAATACAAAATTTGTTTGATCTTACATGTCATTTACATGTGAGATTTTACACAACATATTCAATAACTTACAAATGCTTTATCTGCATAAAAAATAAATCTCTTTACAAAAGTTTTTTGAATATGTACATATTCGTATACACAGGTTCTTGAATGAGATAACAATTGTGGCATGTTTCAAAGCATTCTACTTTATTTTGGAATCTGAGTGTGAGAATAACTGTATGCTGTTTGTCAGATGCTTTTCTTTTCTCACTCATAGGAAATGTGAGCCCGCAAAATATATTACATATCAATAACACAATATATCTTGTCAAAGAGTGTCATCAAGTTTTAAAACTGTATAAATGTACAAAATGGAATTGCAATGACAGGACTCAACATAGTGGTACAAAGTACTATAGCAGCAATTGCTATATTGTATCACTTTTTGCCAACATGCACAGGAATGAAACTATGAGCTGATTTTCACTTCTGCTCCAGAGATAAACCACCTGAAATCACTCTGCTAAATCATTGCAAACTGTGCAGATAAGTTACACTGGTGTGCGGTTATACTAATGCAATAAGTGTCCTTCTTCCAAACAAATGTCTGTACAATATTCAAGGCACTGCAATGATGTAGTAATGTGATGACAGTGTCATAATCTTTCTCTTTTTTGTAAAATATAATTGGCCTTGATTGATAATGGTTCGTGTGAACGTGTGAAAATTCTTTCATGTGTACTGTACCTTTATTGACTAAAGCTGATGCTTTTGTAAAACATGGGAATGACTATTTGTGTCAGAGGGAGTTAACAAAATAGGCTAAAGTCATGTATTCATCAGGCATCTGAGAATAGGAGTTTTGATCAAGAATTTCCCATCTAAGGCACAGTTTCCCAAATCAAGTATAGACCATCAATTTCCTTTGTTTGACAAAAATGGAGTTGATGTAGTAGTTGTACTTATTTATTCTTTGAAATACTTCTAAAGGAGAAAGATGTATATGTTTAAATACATTTTTTATTAAGCTTCATGTCACCTCAGTCGACTTGCTTATTTATTTACCAGCATCCAAACTAAATTAACCTTTGGGAAACCTTGCCACTTAGCACAGTAAATATATTCGGCTTATGTTTTAAATGAACCTTGTTACACATTTAAAAAAAGTGAACTCCTGTTTTGAGATTCTTGATGTATACACACTGATGGCTAGAATTACTTACCCAAAAAACGTTTCACTTGTAAAAACGATGTCTTTCTGTGATGAAAAATTAAAGAGCAAAAAATATGAAGAAAGACTTGATATAACTTAGTTCTTCAATGTGTCCAACGTGTTCCCACACGACCAATACACAATAACTCAGTCTCTCAGGCTAATCAACAATTTAAAAGCTCACGCTTAAACATTTCTGTCCAAAACAAATTAACTGCACCCATTTTGATAATAAACTTTATGTGGACTATATTTCTGGGGATGCACTCTGTAGTTGTCAGAGAACCTGCACTGTAGCAATAAAAGCCCTAGCTTTCCCTGCGGCACTGAAAAAAACTGTACTGCACTTCAGTTGTTAAAATCCCTGGCCATACATCTCCTCTTTAAGAAATACCTTCCAATTAGGAGGTATAATTGACCGTATAACTTTGAACAGAACAGCACCAACATGATTCAATAGAGGCAGTTTCTTTTCTGCTACTTCAGCTCCTTTTACAGAAGGTACTGCTAGAAAAACAAAAAACAGATCAAGCTGATCAACCCAACTCTGAGAAGCCTCTGTTCTACAAAAAAAAGAAATCTCATCAAGACTAAGATAAAGCAGAGACGATTTTAAGATCTGGGCTGAGTCTTTGAAAAGAAAAACATTACATTTTTTATTTGGCATTGTGAAATAACCCCTCCATATTTATACTGCAGAGCATAAAATACTCTATTTTATCTATATGCCGGAGGCTCTTTTAGTTCAAGAGCTTACACTCACAGAGTGCAAAACATTTCTCTTCACCGGACTATGGGTGAAGAGAAAAGTATAGAACCTACCCATCCTCCTCTTTTCATCTTTTAACAAGTAAATGATATAGATTTCAACTAACATCAGTGTTGCTGAAAGTGTGCTTTATGTTGTAAGTAAATCTGTGTGTTTGCTGTGTGTCATCAGAAGCGGAGAAACTTTTTTCCCCATATTCTCAAGTGAAGTAAAACAAGGATAAATTGTATTCTTGGTGTGATTCTCCTTTTTCTCAAAACAAGTGAACATCAAACCATGGTGCAAATAGTGTTGAGATTGGGGTCGAAGCGGACGACTTTCCCCTCAGAAGCTTTTGTGTTTGTGTTGTACATGGGATTCTCAAATGTAGCCTGGCCGTTGTTGTTCTCGTGGACAGAACATCCTGTGTACTGCGCCTTGTCTGTTTTTCTGTGGAGGGGAAAAAATAACAGAAGTAGCATGTAAGTAGAAAGTTCCAATTACATCTACTGCTTCCAACCATGCCAGCAAACATGTTTCTATTTCCTTTTTATGAACAGCTGCAGAAGGTAAATGAGGTTGGGTGGTAATTACTGTTCAAGAGAGCAGTCAGAGGAGCCCTCTGCCATTTCACTGGTAACTAACATAACAAGTGCAAAATTTGCATGTAACAGACTCTGCATGCATGCGGTGTTTAAAGAGGTAATCTGAGATCGAGACAAAACTCATGCATCCCCATACAGCACACATTCCCACAGCAATATATGTGAATGTACTGCACAATACATATAATTTCAAAGTAGGTCTCATTAAAATGGTTTGATGTATGTCCCTGTATGATTTAGTTTGGATGGTAATACATTGACAAACATTACATCATGCTTTGAAGTATCTAACATTCAAGCTGCTGTGCAGTGAGCAGCCAAACTGTGGCACAGCAGGCTACCAAAGTTGGCCATCCTGTACCTTCCACCTTATCTTGGCTTTGGCTACAACTCTACAGATATCTGCACAGGTCTGTGATTTTAAGAGCCTTTTATTTATTATTTAAGCATCTAAGAATATAAGCTAAATGTAAGCGTACACACAGGCACTTCATACCTCTGCTTGTAGAGATAAAAACCAAGTCCAGCGATTATGAGAGCAAAGAAAGGCACAAGGATAGCGACAGCAACAGAGCTGCTGTTGGTGGAGCCACTGGTTTCAGGGTCATTCAGTGTTACATTCTCTCTTACACTCAAACCTAAAGAAAAGACAGGAAAGTTACATTTATAAAGAGAATGTGAGCAACAGTTAATGTGTGTAATAACTATGTATTTATTAAGAATGAATGAAAAAGACACTGTACGTTTTCCGCTGATGATGAACACAAGGATGATAACAACAACGTTATTGATGAAAATCAGGATGTAGATGAGCAGAGATGCAAAAGGCGCTTGATAAATACGCCATTATCTTACTGATAGTCCTTACTCTTAGTGCGATAAGGTTGAGGACAATGATTTGATGATGACAGCAGTGATGAAAAGCACAAAGAAATGAGGTACAATTATAGTGAAGAGGATAATGTGCTGCTTCACCTATGGATGTGGTTGAATGAACAATAGAGCACACAGGAAGTACTAAGAATACCACGAAGCAAAAGAATGCATTCAGCCAACATGATGCAGGGTTAGTGTGACAAAAATACAATTTTTAGTTACTCTGGAAAAGAAAATAGATGCATTAGTGGAAGGAAGCTTGACATCAAGTTCAGTTTTGGTATTCAGATGATAAAATAGGGTTAGAATGTATTTAATGTATGACTTTTAGTGTTAAATAACACTTGCTTATAATACACTCAGCTATACACAGTAATACAAATGTAAGGATCAGATATGGATTTAGGGGTCAACAGAAAAAATGATGAAAGAAATGGCTGGTTTTTCAGAACCTAGGACAATTATGCCCCAGACTCAGTGACCACTTTTTAAGAGAAAAAATATACAGGCATTAAGACAGCATATGCCTATGATCCAATGTGGCTCTGCAAAAGTGGGTGGTGCAGATTGAAGGCTGACACTGGCAAGCTCTCACTGCTGTTTTTCAGGAAGTTCAGTTCCTGACGACCTGGGGTCACAGCAGTAATGCTGGGTGTATTGATTGTAAAATGCTGTGAAGATCACCCTACTTGTCTCCTTTTAGAAATAATTTAGTAAATTTTCACAAGACAGCAGGAAAATCTGCTGCTGCTTGTGAGCAGTAGCTTGTAGGTGGACTTATCCGTTGCTGGTTTTCAGTCCCTTATCCCACTGACAGTTGCTGCAAATCTTTACCATATCAATAAATAATTAGAAAGGGTTTTGCGTCAAGCTTTTAGGGGTGAATAAAGAGAAAACCTGATGGGACAGAAATTCCTAACTGCTGGGGATGGAATTGTACAGTAAAAGATGCCTACCTAGTCGCTGAAGTCCGAACTGTCCATAGTCTTTGCTCTGTATAAAGCCTTGGAACACATAGCTTCCACCCTCAGGTTCAGCTGAAACCTGGCATAAACACAAACAGACGAAAGAAAAACACCCGTTCAACTGGATACATACACCACTTTTGCCTAGCACATTAAAAACTACAAATATATTGTATCAACACAATCTCTAATGCTCCAATCAAAGACAAAGACTTTCACTCCACAGAACTCCACAACAGAACCCCAGCAGCGTGCAGTCACCTGTCACAGGCTGGTATGAAGTGGACCTTGTAGTTTGTGACAGAAAAGATACTTCTGTTCCACTGCCTACAACTGTTCCGCAGATAATCCAAGTCTCTCCCGTGTCAGCAGAGTGTCTAAACCTTATTCTCATGACCCTGATTTTTTTTTCTGTACTTCTCTCCAAACAAGATGAAAACAAACAAGTAATAAGAAACCTTTGTATAATTCAGTCCAGGGGAAGGCTTAGTATTAGCCTTCAAATAGTGGTGTTTCATCTGCCTGTATTTTTCCCATCTTGTGAATCAAGTAAAACTAAATAAATAAAGTCAAACATAGCCACAGGTCTTAGTTATTTTTTCCAGACTCTCTCTTGTATGTACTTACAAAGCCATCCATTGCCCAGGTCTCATCAGTAATCCTGCTCAAGGAGCTGTGGGCCAGTGCTCTCATCTGATACAACAGGAGCATTAATCGTGCCTCCTGGTATTTGTAGACTCCTACAAGGTACAGGACAAGAGAAGTGATGCAAGTGGAAAAAAGAGAGACCTAAAAAGACACAACAAAAGAAAATCTAATGAAAAGAAAAAGAGTAAGAAAAATGGAAGGCTGAAGGAGTGGCTCAGACTAGTGATTCTTGAGTGGGCAGACAGGCAGTGCAGACTAATTCATCCATCTCCCCAGCCAATAGTTAATTTCCAGTCTCATGCATGAGATCTTTTCGTGATTGACTGATTGACATAAGGCAACCACAAAATAAATCGAAGTGACAAAGAGGTGATAGGGGAGGATATGGGAGGTGTGGGATAGGAAACAGAGGACAGATGATTTATAGATGGCTCACCCGAGAGCAGAAACTCTACACTGCTGTCTCTTAAAGTTACATTGACTTTTCCACTTGTGGCATTAAAGCTTGTGACTGTCAAACTCATTGGCTGCTTGTGGCCTTTGTAGTCATAGGAGCCCTTCCAGATGAAATCAGGGGCAAAGACATCATCAGGGACTGCAGGGAAATAAAGATGCGAGAAATATAATCACTCCAAAAAGTAAAAGCTGATATAAATCTTTTCATCTGACATTTTCACATAATAAAAGATGTCTCGAAACACATAATTGAGAAATGGCACAGTGAAATCAGAGAAATTTATTTACAAGGCAAAGAAGAGTAGATGTCCCATAATATGGCAGCTGAAGCTTGAAGCATCAACAATGAATTAATGTGAGACGGAAGATGAAAGAACCAACATGAATGTAAAAGGGTTAAAAAGTATCAGCTTTTCTTTGCATACAATTGGCATATATATGGTTTTAATTATTTTGTTCAAAGTATTTTGAAAGCATACACTCACCAACCAAAAAAGAAAAAACTAATTCAACTTTAAGCTAAATCTGAAGTGGTTTGTTTAACTTCAGCATGGTCAGGGTTAGAACGAACACAAAATCAAATCACTATCAAGTCACTATCTTCCAAGGCCACAACCACTAAATTACACAAAATTAATGGATGGCAGACCGTCTTACAGGATGCGATGCACAATATTTCTGATAAGAACTACTTTGTGAGATGATTAGGTTAGTCTTATTTTTGACTGGAAAATGGACAACAGGAAGCCTTCACACTCTGGGAGCAAGAGTGAGCTGCTAACTGCCTCAGAGTCCCACAGGATTCATCAGTCCATCATCTCTTTGCCCTGACGTCGTTGCTGTCTATCATGCGAGACTCTGTGGTCAGTTAATATGCAATAATGGAAACAAAAAGCAGGTTGTGGGTCTTCATGGCATCCTCATAAAAAATGTACCCAGTACTATGTGCCTCGATGCTTTCTATGCAGGGAAAACCAAAAATACAATAAATACCCCCTACTTAAATAATTCTTATGTAATTAGGTTGCGCTGATGTTTTCTGAGCAGATTTATCTCCTTAAATGACCCCTAAGACACAATCCTGGTACCCATTTTATTTGGCTTATCATTTTTGATAATCTGTCATTCTTGGTTTCACGGTGTGCTGAATTTTGATTTGGAAAAGAGGCATAAAGAAACAAATTATTATTAATAATATAGTCATAGTATAAATGAAAAGATTTCATGATTTTATTTTCACTTTTCCATAGTGATATTAAACTGAACTTACTGGCAGAGAGAGAAAAGATCCCATCTAAGCAACATACTGAAAAAGTTCCTTCATGTCCTTAAGTGAAATGTCCACATGTCGCAAGTGACCTAGGTCTGGAGGAACTGCAACCATTTCGTCTTTTAGCCAAGCCGAATTTTAAACATAAATATTCACCTTTCATTTTAGGACTTGCAGTCCCTGGAACAGGTTTGACAGTTTTTTCCTGTGATTTTGATCCAACTGTGGAAGAAAATAAATATACATGTCACAGAGACGTAGTGATACACAGCAAAGCTTAACAGCTGCAGGAGGTTTCCAAAGGAAGCACAGTTCACTTCTTACAAGCTGCCAGCGTAAACTTTTCTTTTATTGTCAAGATGTCTGGAGGCTCAGCGTAACAAAAAAAAAAAAACATTTAGAAATAAAAGTCTTAACATGCCTCTAGTAACCGGTGGAAAATACAACAGGCTGAGTTCACAGCAAGTCCAAGTACCCTCCCACCTTCAATGTGCATTTGAACAGAATAATTCCATAGAACTTTTCAACATTCACTCATAAAAGGCTTGGTCATCAGCTTCTGCAGCCCTCTGCAAACAGCGTACCTCTGCACACTGGCACCTTGCCAGTCCAGCTGCCGTCAGAGCGGCAGACACGGTGCTCTGATCCCCCGGAGAGGAAATAACCCGAGTGGCAGGTGTAGACCAGAGTGTAGCCATAGGAGGGCAGGTCTAGACCCATGACGTCAGCATTGGATGGGGTCCGGGGCTGTTTGCAGGTGTGAGCTGGAAATTAGGCAGAATAGAGGAATGGCTCATCTGCACATATAGAAACATAAAATGGAGCACAAAACCCATTTATGTGCATAGTCTAGCCTGTACACATACCTACATGCATACACAGATATGAGAAAACGTTGGTATTCAGTAAGATGGGAAGAGAGGGTCAGATAGGCAAGTTAAGAGAATGCATTATCTTAAAATTTTTGTGATACAAATTTAAGATCTTAAATTTCTTTCTTAAGGTGAATAACTGGCCTATGCATTTAGTGCAACAAAATAGGACAATGTTCTTTCAGCCTCCAGCTGATCCATGATGATGTAGATGAGAAAAAACCTCCAGTCAAAGTAAATATACTACATCAACCAAGCTAGTTAAAGAGCAAATGTGCTGTTAGGGGATCCAATTTAATCTAAAAAAAGTTTCTTAAGCCGAATAACTAGTTCACGCATTTATTACAACAAAATAGGACAATATTAATTCAGCCTCCAGCTGATCCAAAGAGTTATCAACAAGTTATCAACAATGTCCAGAAAGTGGATCTTAAAGATAGAACATAACCAAAAAGAAAAAGGGCATAGCAGTCACATTTAGCTGGATTAATACTAAATTTTGTACTAAACCAACAGTATCAATACAAAGCCATATAAGAATGGCGACATTCAGTCAATAGACTGATTCAGAATAAAGTAAATTCCTTCCTTGAGGAAAAAAACAAAACACTCTGAGAACATGTCCAGGGTACAAAAGTTGTTGTGTTTGTGGATTGTGAATGCTAGCGATACATGACCAATGACTAAAGAAGTGTTTAAACAAAAGGTTGACATGCCCCGTATGAGTGTCGTATTTCTTCACACTTCAAACAGCTCCATGGGTCTTTACTTCTGAGACTATAAGGGGCCTTAGAGGACATTTTTCTTTCTCTCAGCATGTAATGCTTATTAGTCACACAGACCAACAGACCGAGGAAGTCAGACAGAGATCCCTGCTGGTGTCTGATGCTTTCCTTAATTTTTTCCTGTATATTTCAAAGGAAATATTTGGTCACAAAACCACACATTGTTGTGAACTTAACAGTTTGCAGTTATTGTGCACTCAAGTCCAAACATTTCACTATTGATGGATTTAACCCCTGTTCAATTTATTGTTGAAATGGTCATTTTTCTTTGAGCATACACATTGTTAAAATGAGCTTGGGGTCTATCTATGGGCAAAGACAATCTGCTAACGGTATAATTCAATTAATGTAAAGTGACATTAAAATTGAAGACTGAGTCGTATTAAACTTGCACCCATTGCCTTTTGTACCAACAAGTTTTTGCTTTTACTAGCCGAACAAGATTGGTTGTCCTCCAGGATGCAAACAACCAAGAGTATGTATGCCTGATAATGGCTGTATGGAAAGCCATTGAACCAAAAATCGCCAATTAAAGTAAAATAAAAGTTAAGTAAAAGTTTACTTCTCAGCAACCAAAACACATTTATTACAGCTATATCTACATTCTGTTTAGTGATTAATACAAGTAAAAAAGACAAAAAACAAACAAACTATTGATGCCTCTATGCTAAAGGGAATAGTTATGAACAAATAAAACCTACTTGAACATGTTAATACAGTAGTTATATTCATGATAATACTCAGAATAAGGCTGCAAGTGTGGGTTAAGCATGTTTTTATATTTAATATGCCAAGAACCAGGATATGCACTAACTAATAATTTGCATTGGGTTGGGAAAGATTATAAACTAATAATGAAACCTCAAAGATTTAGTGATGAGGTAACTTTCACATTAATTGATTAAAACTGCTATAGTTGTAAATAGTAACTTTGAAAACCTGGGTTACAACAGGGTTCACATAAAACAGGAATGCTGGCTAAATGACAAAACCATCAGGTGGGATTGTTGCTAAATTTACAACAGCAAAACAGAGAATGATCAAAGGTAAAAAAAAAAAAACACAACAAAAAACCTTACCAAAAAATAAAAAACACAAAAAAAAAACATGGTTACCACGTAGAAGCAAAAAGTCTCAACCTGAAATGTGTGAAGCTGTAATCCATAGTTGAAATGATAGACAGACATAGCTGATGCTAAATTAGGTTTGGCCAGTAATTAAATCCAACATTTCAGTTTTTCCATTTACGGCAAATGCCAACAACACCCCCTGTCACCTTTTTCTACTTTCAGGTAAATGTATTTAAGAGTGTCGTCGTAAACCATGTCATAGACAGGGAAAAAATGCTTTGACAATTTTTCCTCTAACCTTTCAAAATATATTGGTGGGTCTATAATATATTAATAGGGTAAGATATAATAAGATCTGAGTGGGTCGTGAAGGCGCTGGAGCCTATCCCAGCTGTCACTGGGTGAGAGGCGGGTTACACACTGGACAAGTCCCTGGTCCATCACAGGGCCACATAGACACATATGAGACAAAATCATGCACACTGTGATAAAGAATTTTCTATTTGACTCTGCCGATCCAATCTGCAGCAAGATTGGAGATAAATCATTTCAAATGTACAGTTTTGGCCATTGATCAGTTTATGGTGCATGTTATATTATTCAGGAATTCATATATATTGATGTAATTATAGCTTTAATAATATAATTATGGCAGTTCATTCTTAAGAATTATCTATTTACATGTGTTATACAAATGTGTAATAAGGTGATGCAGATAAATGCAAAAATAACTCCTGTCATAAAGTACATTTTTAAATATTATATTAACCAAGCTAGTTAAAGAGTGAATGTGCTGTTAGGGGATTTAATCTAAAATTTAATTTTGACAAAATAAATATAACAGATGGCAGCACAGTTATCGTTACAAACCCTATATTTTCATAATGCCACGTCAAAATAGATTTTTGAGGAAAATCTAAATCTGTCAAAATGGCAATAGAGAGCAAAAAAACTACTCACCTACTAAACACATTGGGACTTAAAACATCATGGTAGCCCGATTATGTACATTGCAGCACTGACATATTTAAAGTGATCTTATTTTAGTTTTTTTTGTTTTTGTTTTTCACCATATTCAGTGTTGCAGTCCATTTACTGCAATCTGAAGCTATAGCCTAAAGCCTAAATTTCTTGTTTTTGTCCAGAACCGATTCATTTAATTGTATATCATTCATCATTATATTAAAGATTTTGCAGGATCAACATTTATGCAAATGATTACTCATGAGTGCATCAATTGTATCTTAAATGAGCAATTAGTTCAGGATTCAATCTGCTCAGTGACAACCCAGTTAAGGTTTTGCAAGCAGACTACTCTGTTGCATTAATTCATACGTATGGAGATGATACAGCTTATCCCATACAGAATGTCTCCAGTCAGAGTAACACAGTTCTCCCTTGTTTTTCCCAAAATCTTTATTACTTGCCACAGAAGTCTGCATGAACTTAACCTACCATAAAAATGCCTCAAACATGCTCTAGCTATTGATTTATTCTAAGTCATCCATCACAGCATTTGAAATAAAATGCTATAAAGGAATTGAGGCACTGCGACATTCTGAATTTTCCACAGCGAACAGGATGACAGGGTCAACAGTTAGAAAAAAACAAGTGGAGCAGAGATGAGCATAGAGCCATCTAGGGAAGAGTTGACAAGAACGTTTTCAGCATCTTGACTGTTCTCAGCTATTGAACCTCCTAGACTATATAACTCTAAGGACAAGGAATGACCATAAACCATTGCAGTGTTCCTTTACCGAATAGCTTCTATTTTTTCTTATAATAAAATGTTCTGTTTATTTGCAAATATTAGGATAACTTAAACAAATAACTAATTATTTTAGTTACTAATTGTGTTCAATATAATGATTATGTACAAGATGTAAATTGTTGAATTGTGGCATTCAACTTTCTTGCTCTTTCTATGTAAAATACAGAGAAGTCTTGGGTTCCAGAAAGTAAGGATATTTAGGAAAGTAAATTAATCACCATGGCAAATAATAAATCAGATAAATAAAAGCTACTTTAGCTCACAGGTTTTGTGTCCATAAGCTTAAATTACATATTTCTTGCAGCTCTATAATTGCGTGAACATAACAAAATAAGATGGATTGGGGGAAACACAGAAAATGTATAAAACACCTATGTCCTTCACAACATGAACATCTGAGATATTCAGAGGAAGGTGTCAGTAATTCTGTCCACATAAGCCCACAGAGAGACTTTTTTCTGGAGATGCCCTCTCCAAACCAGCTATGGTAAAAAGCGGGTGGGGTGAAACAGAAGTGCAAAGCGCACATGAGTGGCAGAATAATTTTTTTTGTTGAGAAAACCACTTTATTCTTTAAAACATTGGGAGAATAGTATATGAAAATATGTGAAAGAACAAACTCTCACTAGTACACACACAAATATCCATGCAAAAGCAACTCTAGGCGGTTAGAAGACATGGGGGACATTTAACTTGCATATCTGAGTGCTGGTCCTCAAATTGTATTCTGTTAATTTATCTTGATGTACTTGACCTGTATCCAAATTCGAAGACCAATGTAATTTTTTCTTCAAACCTTTTTGGGCACCAGATGCTTTAATCGAAAAGTGGTTGGAAAGAAAAATGGGGAAGCAAAATGCCACAGGTCAGGACTCAGTAGAATAGCTCAACTCACCACTTTTGCTTTGATGTTTTAAGAAGAGAAAGCTAGATATCAGAGTCAAGTTTGAGGGTAACTTAATTTAATCTACCAGCATCACAAACTGCAGCCTCCAAAGTGGACTTAAAGTTAAAGTTGAATCATGTCACTTATTGTTAGTGCTCATAATGCACATTAAGGGTCTCATTAAAGCAAAATTCCATGCAGTGATATTATACCAGACTGCATTAGCTCCACTTAAGTCATCCTAATAAATTGTTCACCAGGTTTATGTGAACAAAAAATATTATATTCAAGGACCTACTTTGAAACTTTCCCTTCTCCCCTTGCAACAGACACATTTGAATGTATGGTACACAGTACATGAACAGGATTAGGGGTGAGTATTACAATCCTTCTGCATCCTCAGCATAAAGGCATCCAAGAATTAAGTGGGTAGCACATCTTTTCAGAATTATGAAACCAAGATTAAAAGGATTAATAAAAATGTTCTTGTCCTTTCACAGTTCAGTTGTTTGCAATGTGAATGCTTAGTAAAAGGCAGTCTTTAGTAGGGTTAAGATAGTAATGTTCAACAAGGTATCCCACAGAAATACTGGATCACCTCACAATTTCAAGAAAAACCTCTTATTTGGGAAAAGTCAATGGAATAAACTACATGGCTCTAGTTGGATGTTGGTCAACAGTTCAGATAGTTCAAACAGAAAAATAGTAATCATGGTCAACACTTCACTCTCAGAATGATGACAGGTTGCTTGAGGTGCAGGAAGCAATCTACTAAAGGGCCAGAGGTTATGACGGCATTAAGCCACTGAGAGAATATAGCACTGACAAAAGCAGAGTGAATCTAGGAAGTGCTCTGTTGAGGATGCGCACAAAGAAAGCATTTGAACAGCCAGCAATCTGTATAAACAGTGACAAATAGCCTGAAGGGATAGTGGAAAAACAAAGACAGTGATAGTGATCTGAAGATACAGCAAAAGCGTAAGAAACAAACACTCACCAATGCAGGTAGGCTGGATGCCAGTCCAGGTTAAGTCTGGCAAACACAGCCTTGTAGTAGAGCCCTGGAGTAGATGTCCCTGTTGGCACTGGAAGTCCACTCTGCTACCCACCTGGACACAAACAGATAATGCACAAAATAGAAGGAGTCAACACGCTGAGGCAAATGCCAATAGGCTCCAAGGATCAAATCTTCCAGAGCTTGGAAAAAATACTGCACATTAAAGGTTTTTTTTTTCTCCTTGTCAAAAGATTATGCACAGTGCGTGGAGGCAGAGGGGGACAATTCCTGAAGCGGGTTGCTTGTGGTTGTGTTTCCAACTAAGATGTTGAGAGAGCAAGGGGACCAGTTCTGATATAAAGAATTAAACAATGAGTCTTAAATACTTCCTGTTTTCTTTATCAGCTTTAATTTCTACCTACAATAGTTAAATAATGATGATTTCATTGTTCAATGCTATCAAAATATTGCTGAAATCATTCAGTGGCAAAGAAAAATAACAGACTAAAATAAGTTCCAACTTCTTTCAGGGGATATATTTTCACTCATATTCTGCTGAGTGCTGCAAAGAAATCGCACGCTTATAATGGATGATACTAAAATAAAAAGGCTCTTGATGGAAACATTGAAAATTCACCATGATATTTTCATTTAACTTTTACATAATATTTTGTATATTTGTATTGCTTGGTTTACATATTTGTTTAAATAGCAGACTAACACATTTGATGGCAAAATCTTGGCCGAGATATATATACATTCAATTGTATGAGTTTGCTTCAATCTTGATCTATTTTACGATACACACAAATTAAAATGAAATGTCTTTTTATTATATAATTTAAAATTTATTTTAAATGTGGCCTTTAGGTTTCTGTAATTTTGTTAATTTCAATAAAGAAAGAGCTGCCAAAAAAGGTGATCACCTGTGGTAAGGAACAACTGTGGAACAACAACCCCAGACCTGAGAGGGCTAGAGCTCAGGCAGGGAGCAGTAATACAACCATCAGAGCACAACCAACTTTTGTTGCCTTTTTCTCAATACAAAATATTTCTTTGCATGAATTCGCCTCACCATAAAAGTGCATGAAAATGCATTTCATAAACTGTATCTTTTGATTCTTTTCACCTTAAATCCTGTAGTATAATTCATGAAGCCATTCTCAGGTGTCCCTGGATTTCCACATGTAGTTCTTGTAGGCTCTGGAACAAGATATCATTGAGGCAAATAAGGAATTACAGGAGAGCAAATGGAGAACTTGACAGAGGGAAAATGAATGATGTTTAAAAAAAACACCATTTCTCACTGAAGTACCTTGTATCAGTGAAAAGCAACTAAATGGGGTCTTAACATGAGCATAAATACCTTGTCGTGACTTATTCCTTTTACTATGATTTCCTTGGCACAAAAGAATCTCAGCAACATTCTTAAACCGATTAATACAGTAATTCCAACTTTTAATAGCATGGAGCAGATATATTCAATGTAAAGACAAATATATATAATGGTGGTATATATCGGGCAAGGATTAACTCAAGTATCCCTTTTTTCTCTGTAAATGAAAAAAACATGCTTTGCATAAAAGTCATATCTGGTTGATCTGTATATCTAAATTGGCTCACACAGCCACATTCTGTACCTATACATCGAGGCTGAGATCCACTCCAGGTGCCATCCTCCTGGCACATGCGAGTTGTTGATCCCACCAGCACATTCGGGATGCTGCAGGTAAATGTCACTTCTGACTTGAAGATGAAGCTACGTCCTTCTCGCCGACCTTTGAGAGGCACTCCAGGATCTCCACAGAACTTGGCTGGAGGGAAAATCAAGTCATAAAGTTTGCATATCATCCAAACTAATGAATCTAGCATAGATGTTTGGGTAAATATAAAAATTCTGCTTTTAACTGTATACTTCCATTATACCACTGTTGGCCTATTGATATGCTCTTTTTTTTAACACAGTGAGGTCTATTTTAGTTTCTTCTTCCCATGAAGGCCACAGATCGCAGCCTGAATACGAACTATTAAATTCAGGATATCATAAGCTTTGTGGAGCCTTTGTTGTACTCTTGCACGATCAGAGCACGGGTGCCAACAATGGTTTCGATTACCACCAAAAGCTTTGTAGTCCTTGATATGCTTTTTAAAAAAAATCATCTCTCATTTATTTGATCATAACAACAGTCTGTCTCTATGATTTGGACAATCTTCAAAGACTAAATTATTCAAACTACAGTCATAATCCTCCACATAGAAAAGTCTCAGTCTGTGTTTCTATAAAATGTGGGAAGATGCATTTACATTTACATTTTGGTGTTTTGTTTCAAACAATCAGGAGTGTTGATGAGATGTTATTGTAAGTACAGGAATATTCACATTAGCATCAAAGGGAGTTCAGGAAGGTCATTTTTTCCATTTTTAGATAAAAAATAATTAGCAAGTAAAATTCATTTATCTGGCAGGGCCTTGAGGTTAATCAAATTGGAACCATTTCTTACTGGTGTTACTTGCTGAGCCCCTTTTATGACATTGCTTTTTATTTTTGCTAATGGGACAGCCACAGTCTCAGCAGATGAAGTGTGATGGATTATAACTGCTGTAACTTCAATTTACTGCTCATGGATATCTAATCAAAGTGACTGGAATAATTAGGAGTGAACTGGTTTGATGGCGAGTAAAGTGACATTTTCCAGTCACAAAATGCATCACTGACTATATCCATCCATTAAACCATTGTGACTGTGATGATCAGTAAAAACTACTTGTTAACTGTTGGGGGTTCATAAGTGCTCAGTGTGTGTGAGAGCAGGAGGAGAGGACGACGACAGTCACAGCATTCAGTCACAACAGTCAGAGCACAGCAAGATCAAGACAATAATGAGGCAGGTGCTTTTCTAAACCTGACATGTGCTGCTGTGTGGAGCTTTGCTGTCAGAGATAAGTTCTTGCTCATGCACGTCCTACAAGCCATGAACTAACGGGGGTCTTCACACAACCAGTCCCTGACATAATACTGTAGATATCTCATGAAAGAGGAGATTAGAATCCAGCCCATGCAGGAGTAGCTGAATAAAGCCATTATTGTAAATAATGTTATCTGAGAAACAAATTCTTGCATTCTGAGCTGTGTTTTCCCCAAGAAGATACTTTTTTCCATTTACTGCTGTTCTCCTCTTAAACAACTGCATTGTGTATTCCAAGGTCCCAGTCTGACCACCTTGGATATTACAACAAACAAAAATGCAAATGTCTGTCCAGATCTGAACACGATTCTTGTCACTTTTCAAATGGCTTTGTAATACTTAGTATTCAGATGGTATTTCTTGGACCGTTGACAATACAGGCCAAACAGGTGACAAGCACATCAGTCATAAGCTTGATGCCACAGGGAAATAATCTCCTGTTTTATGGATATATAAGAGAAATGGCCCCAAGCCAAACCAAGCTCGGCATATTTAATGTGCCACTGTGTGCGTGTATACGTGTAAAAGGAGGAGTGAGAGGGAGACTAGTCAAACTTTTTCTCCCCCTCTCACTGCCTCTCTCCTTCCTTGATGAATTATCAATGCTTTGAAGTCATCAGTATGCAGAGACCAGATTCAAAGTTGGGATCACAGACTTTTCCCTGCAGACATGTGAAACTGGCATTCTTAGACACAGAATTTAGTCATTTCCTGTGTGTGGTTACAGGGAGCATGAACATGCATCATAATAATGTTGGGCTACAAATACTTGCATGAATGAGCTGTCATTTGTTTTTGCAGACTAAATCCATCTGCCACAGATTTGCTGATCTCTTTCTAAAATTGCTGAGTTTAAGATGAGTGATAAAAAAACTGCATTGCAATTCTTACCATTTGTGGTATAAAAATGCAAGGATCAGCAAGGCTGTTTATGTACAAACCAACATTACATAAACTCATGACCATTATTTTGCCACCAATTTCTGTTAAGCAGCAAAGATACATTTCTTCCTGGTGCATTTAAAAACTTCTTGGTATAAGAAACATCTAAAATCTTCAACGTAGTAAACTTTAGCGAGAGTATTTTGACATGCGTTTCCTGCACACGCGCGAAAAACATTTTTTGCCTATATGCATCTACAGCTGTTTGACAGATGTTTGATTCTATGAAGTAACAGAGTATTGAATAGTATTGCTCTGAACTATACAGTGAAAACTGAGGATTTAGGTCTTTATAATTACATCATTATTCATCATAACTACATCCTGGGATTGGCTCAGATAGTGCTGTGCTGACATTTTAATGCATTGATAATGGCCTCTTCTACACCAAATATGATCAGCATATTCTCCTCCTTTGTTCCCCGTTTCCATCCTCATTTATTTCTCGGCAATTTTAAGTGATTAATCACATCTTTCATCCACTTAAAGAATGCCGATGGGGGAGGCAAGTTCTTCACAAAAAGTTGGGTATTGATCAAAATTATATTTATTGTGAATTGTTCTCAAGTTGTGCCATTTTAAAACAATCCCTACAACATGCATCTATGCCATGAGTAATGAGGCTTTCAAGTGCAATTACTTGGTCAACAGTTGCGATGCGTGATGGATTGGTGACCTGTACAGGGTGTACTCTGCTTCTCACCCAATGACAGGTGGGATGGCTAGGCTTCTCACTTCTCAGTGATCTCACTTGGAATAAGTGGGTATAGATAATGGATGGATAGAATGTTGTAAAAGACCAGGAGTTCCTTCCCTGGCAGATTAAACACTATCTTGGTGTATGAAGGTTACTTATTTACTTTGCTCCAGGAGGATGTTCTATAGGTGCTGATGTGGAAAAATTATTTTAGTGTGCTGAGGAATGTCACTGCTCACTGTAATTGTAGAGGGCAGCGGCTAAGCATGGTACTTTTATCTTATCCATTTTAAGAACACATGGCAAGTTTTACCATTATAGCAACACAGGACCAGAGTGCTAGTGCATTTTGGAATAAATAGGAATTTTATTGCCTAGCTGTGGTCTTCAAAAACAAGTATAAAGCACAGTAGCCTTTTGCTGCTAATCAGAGTAGTCTACCTATTCAATTCTAATGAAAAACTGCAACGGAGATATTTAGAGTTACAAAAGGCAGCGTGCCTCTAAAATGCATAACAAATACTGGTGGTTTCATATCTACAGCCTAGATGCAGGAGTATCCAGAAAGGGCTTTGTTCACTTGACTAAATACAGCGAACATGTTTCAAATTTCATCTCTGCCAACTAATAAACTATGGTTACTGCAACAACCATTACTGAATGTGGCTAATGAAACCCATAACTCATAAGAGAAGTTGCTTTCCATGAGACATCTGTCATAAAGTTGACCAAATAACAAAAAAGATACACCCAATCATTAGTTTTAGGGTTGCGATACTCGGGTGAGATAGAAAAGAACTAAACAGGGAAAAAAATCCTCTATCTTTAGCACTTGGAACATTGTTCATGGGTGTTTCAGTGTTTTTAGTTTTAATCCAAAAATCAGGAAAGTTCTCAAACACAGATAATGTACTATTCGACCATTCTGAAAAATTAATTTATGTGCAACAGTTGTGGTGTAAAAGTATCTCAGATAACTGCAAACCACAACTTGAACAATCATGAATATCATAGGTTAATAGAATGTAAAGAAAGATTATTCTGAGAATGTCTTTATGTTGTAAATAGCATATAACAATTCACTTAATCACTGAATCACTTAATCACTTTAATCCAAAATTTAATGTACTTAAAATGATCTATTAATTTGTATTCATTATGGGCATGTGGAACTTGATGTCTTTTTCCAGTATTGAATAAAATGAGGTTAATTTTTCTAGCTTATGCAAGCATATAAAAACAGACATAAAACACAGAAGATACAACCCAAAAATGGTTTTAGTAAGGAAGGACTTTGCTATTGAAGCAACAACAATGTCAATAATCTCAGTTTTGTATTTTTAATTGTTAAATTTGATTTGTATAAAGCCAAAGTATCAAGTTTTTCTTTTCCTTCCCTGATGTAATGTCTAATTCTTCATGAATTTCATTGACAGATTTGAAATATTGTCTAAAATATTTAACTGCGAAGTAGCTTTCGAGGGTTTGTCTTGAAAAACTAAAGTTAATATATAAGCCATGAATGTCCATGAGAAATTGTAAACCAACATGCCTTCTGCTGTCTGGGGACCTTTGAGATATTACCTGTTGTGCCACCACTTCATAAAAGAAAAATGTAGGACATTTTGACTTTGACTAATTCATCTGATTATTTCCCATCTTATGTTTTCACTGCTTTATGCCAAGTAGAAACTAGGTAAACACAAGGGGGAACACAGAAGATTTAATCTTTAACTCCCAAAGATGAATTCATATGAGATCAAAACCAATATATAAAGAAGGAAGGCAGCAGGGTGACTGGCTGTAGTTCTAAACATTTCAAAGGTTTGATGTTTTAAAAACGGGTATATTGAGAAAAAAGTCATTTTAAGAAAAAATACTTTTTCTCAAACAAATATTACAAAAACATTTAATCAAAAAGAATTCAAACATCTTGACAAAAATTCTCAGACAAGTAAGCACAAGGATAGATTTAAAAAAAAAAGTTGACTCACGCAAGCACTGAGGCAGATCTCCACTCCATGTTCCCTTTCCAGTGCAGGTGAGTGCTGCAGGGAATGACAGCTCATATCCAGGCAGACAGCGGTAGCTTACACTGGTACCCCACTCCAAGGCTGAGCCCTCCAGGAGGCCATTGGGGATTGAGGGTGGTGTAGGACATGTCACCACTGAGAAGATATGGAGAACATACATAATAGTCTTAGATCAACTCGATCCAGATTGTGTTTTGAAAATGAGTGATGCTGAAAACAAAACAAGTTCAAAGTATAGAGAGAGTTCAAATTTGCAAATCTTCTTTGAAAAAATGGTTCATAACTAAATTCTGACAACACAGGCCTCTCCCACATTAAAAAAGGTGATCAGGAACAGAGGTGTAAAATGTAATTACTAATGTAACAATTGTGCTTTCCTTTACTTTGTTTTATATAGTAAACTGAAAAATTAAACAGACAACATTTGACTGTGTTAGCCAAAAACATTTTTCTTAAACTTATCAAATAATGCATTGACAATAAAACTCTGTCCTGATAAACTTGAAGAGAAAACTGTGAAACATTGGTGGACATAGGGCTTCAGGATCTTTTGAACTGTTATTGTCTTTAACAGTCATATCTTAAGTTATTTTTTTCTGCAAGTCATACATGTTAGTGGAGAAAAAGCTAGACAGATTATGTAAAATTTAAGTTAAACTGTAGTCATCTGTCAAACTTTTACAACTGTTGCTTCTTGAACAGTCATATTACACTTTTGCAGCCAAGAAAATATGTTTTAAAAAGAAATAACTCCCAAAAAACATAATTACACAGATTAATATCTCAACACAGTTGCCAAAGACTCAGCACTTGCAGCCATCATTACGAAACTAATCCATCAACAGTTACAGGTGGTTGTCAGTGTAACAAAAGGAAGCACAAATACTTGAACAGTGTTGTACAAATGAATTTTAAACCACACCATGATCACAGATAAAAACATCATCTTTACGTCTGTTCTTGTGTTCTCGATTATGGCAAATTAACAGAGGATATTAATTACTCTGGTTTAACTGACATGACATTCATTTCTGATTTTTAAGAGTTATTTTAACACAACATCCCAGTCAAAATAAAAAAAAATCAGAAATCTTCTTGTGATTATTGTGAATAAACACGCACAGGCAACTTCCTTGCCACAATTCTTTTTCCTTTTTTCATACAATGGCTTACAATAAATGTAGAACATACCACAGTAGGATGTTCACAGATTTTCTCTCAGGAGGAACTGCCTTTTGTTCTTGGCTGGCAGCACATCCAAAGCAATTTCCATAAGGACATTTTGCAGCTGTATACATGAGCTCAGAGGTATGCTGCATTTGGAAAGATATTTAGGCCATGATGAATGAAAATTAAAAAGCAAAACCACACTGATGTCCCAATCTATCTTGTGTTATTTTCCCAGTTATTGCAATCTATTTCCTTAGGTTCTTAAGGCAAAAAGTTAAACCAAATCTCTTCAAATTTAATTAAAATAAAAGTGCATGCGTGGTGTGAAATATAATGTTGCTCCTGATTCCACAAAAAGAGTAACTTTTGACTGCATACAAAAAAATGCCCAGCTGGTTCTGCAGTGGGTGTAAGTTATACTGCAATGAATCAGTGTCCATGAAACAAGTAGGAGGAGGAAAGTGACATTGAGAAAACCTGCAAGCACCTGTGTGAAAAGCAATGAAGTTACACTGATTAGAAGAGTAGACTTTCTAATCCCATATGCAGAATTTACTTGAAAACATGAGAAAAACTTCAGGGACGGGTGGCAGGCAGGACTGAATAAGAAGAAAAAAGTGGCCCCATTTCTCCTAAGTAGTTCTAAGCAGCATTAGTGCCTCTTAGCTGAACATGCCAAACCTGGGATTCAGACTGAATCCTTGCTTGGTGAGGCTTAGGATGCGTCATCTGCAGTATTTGTATATGCACATCACACACGCATGCCGTGGCTAGAACTGACGTTCACACATTATGAGCAACATTATGCATGGAGCTGGTACAAAAAAACCTCTTTGTCTCAACTAGACTCCAGTTTTCTCTTTCTAACTTTTCATCTTCCGTCTTGCTCTGTCTCTCTGTACCCCTCCCAGCTGCTCATATCCCTTTGGCACATCCTCTATATCTCTGACTGACGCAACATGTCAAAGCATTTTTAACCGACTCACCCTGCCTTAACTGCTGTACCTTTGGCCTAAAACCTATTGTGAAAAAAAGGAAAAACAAACAAACTTCTTAAAGGAATAGTGACCAATATCAGATGGAAGAAAAGAAAATGAATTTTGTCTCCATCTTTTTCTAATGTGGTTGCAGAAGAGTGGGGGGAAAAAAGCTCAAATTTACGTGGTTTATTCTTAGTAGGTTATTAAAAGTTTTTGAAAGAAACCAAAGGGGGGGAAGAAAGTCTTGGCAAGGAGGAAATAAAACACAGCACATCTATATTCAATCATTATACCCCATTGACACTCAGGAACAGCTAAATTAATATTGAGCATCCACTTTGCAATCAAAGTCCTCACTCCTGCTTTTCTTTTATTCATTTATCCCATGAGAGAAAAAAGTACTACCGCATGAGTAGGAGTGTAAGAGGAGGAAAAGTAGACCCTGTGGGTCATCTGTTAATGCATACGGGTCAACATGAGCTGACAGTGTTCAGGCCATAGTTGCAGCGTTGGGGAAAAAAAATGTTTGATGTATGGAAGAATGTGTGGCATTCTGAGAACATGTATCTGTGAAAGATACATGTCAATAAAGGCTAAAATTCCTGATCATATTCAAACATGGTCTTGTAAGAGTGAGAATAATGATAAATAAATAGAATAACGATAAATAGATAAAAACGTTAAATTAGAATTTCTTGGCATACTCTTTTTGTACGTACAGATATATATTTATAAAAAATATGTATAAAAAGGAGATCAAAGTGAATGCGTTTTGATCTGATGTTTAATTCAATTTTAACAGACATTTTATGTCTGTTAAATTATCATTTTCAGTAAGTTTGGACTGCTCCTGTCTAGTTTATCCAACAGTTGCTTTAGTTTGTATGCATACATGTCACTCTCTCAAATGCTTTTCTTTTTCTCAAGTTCAATTTGTCCATTGCCATTTCTCAAGAGGCCAACATAATAACAGCTTGCTTCAATGTAACTGACACAGTAGCCTGGGCACAGTTTCCAAGCAACAGTGAGACACCAGTTGTGTTTCCACTCTTCCTGCTCTGGGTGTACTTCTGAATTGCTCGCTGCACAAGTTAATCCTACCCACAATACTTATCTATGGGGTCAAAAGCAGAAATGCTAATCTATGCCTCCACTTAAGGATAATAAATCATAGCCCTGTTGCTGAAAATTCAAACACATTTGTTATGCAGAGATCACATTGGTGTGGTTTGTATTTTTGTGAAAATGGGAACAAAAACACAAACTGCTCTCATTCCAAAATGCATTTGTGTCTTTTAGTTTTGCACAATTCCAGACAAATGTGTCAGTGCCACTGGGATTAAACGGTAAGTGGACTTTTAGTTATGTAACACTTTTCCTGTCGAATTGACCACTCAAAACATACACTTTCGCACACACCTGTGGATGCACTGCGAGGCAACTTAAGGTTTAATGCCTTGCCCAAGAACTATTCGACACATTGCCCTGTGGAACATGGAGTTGAACCACTGAAGGTAACTGCTCTTTTCTTCTGAGCCACAACCAAAGTGAAAAGCAAGGTGCTATCTGACCACACAGGAAAGGTCAATGTTGCCTTCCTTGTTGAGCGCATTACATCTTAGAGAGTAATGAGAAAGCTCCTCATATTATGTGACATCATGCCCGCATGTCAGTGTAGCATCGTAATTACCTCATTATCAAATTGACTGTTACCTACAATTTGAGCGTGACACAGATTAAAATGTACATTTTGTTTGTACTCACCTTGGCATGCTGGCATCATTCCACTCCAGGTTCCATTGTTGGTGCAGATTCTTGTGACAGCGTTTTCCCCTCCAATCATCACATACCCTGGCTGGCATATGAAGGTGACGTTGAGACCCACTGTGATGTCCTCCCCGAATCGAAGCCCATTCGCTGGAATGCCTGGGTCACCACAGGTGATCACTACAATTGCAGATCATAGATAGAGAACTTCCATAAGAACATGTTGAATGTAGAAATGGACAGTCAGAATTTTAGATTGCTCCATATAAAAGCAACCTATTTAAGTAGCTTGAATTGTAAATCTTTTTACCATGCCATTTTTTCATTCCCTAATGTTCACTTGTGTTATTTTAGTGTTATTTTAGCCCTCCTCTGCAACGGAGTTTCTGGCTTTCTGATTCTGCATTTAATCCCCTGCACCACAGTAACTAAATGATGATTTACTATTTTTGCTTAAGTGTTCTAGGCAAAATTGGTGGGTAGAGGTTGCAACGATTGACAATTATTCTTCTAGGCCTAACAATTATCCTCTTATCTACATAGAGTTAGTTATCAAATGAGTTCAGCTCTGTTATATCAAGTTGTCAATGACAAAAAATGTTCACTTGAGTGAACATTTTAAAATAAAATAAACTGCACCTGTATCTGCCATTATGCACCAGCAGGGATTATAGTATCGAAAGTCAGAATTGAGAAAAGCAATGAGGAGAAAAACAACATTGAAAGTTTGTAAATGAATAGGTGGTCATTATGTAGGGAGGATTATAATTGCTGCCCTATCATTCCTCACATAAATGGTGAGTTATTTTGAGCAGCTAAAAATAAAATGCCACTTTTTCAGCATCTATATTTTCCACCTTGAGTTCTGAAATCATCAGTAGTGTCAGTTTTGTTCTAAAAAGTGTGCATTTCAGCTGGATATGTACATAGGAGCTTTTTGAGAATGTTTGAACTTTTGAGAAAACTTGAGAACTTTTATGAAAAGTTTTTAAGTATATTCCTTGTGCCATTATTATGATGTAAAAAGGGGGGGGGGCATATCTTGGAACATGAAACTCACAACATGGGATATTTTTAACTTTAAAAACATCCAACACAAAGGGAGGGTTTTGTAACTGCACCTCTTTGATATAATCGTCTCTTACAGAGAGTTAAAAACTAACTGGACTAATATTTATCATGGACAGGTTGAGACTAAATCTGGCATTTGTGTATTGAAACTTCTATGACCATGTGGTCTAAGGAGTACTCAGGATAGGATAAATACATTTCCAAGTCTACAGGGGTGCCTCTCTGCTCAGACTCAGCCAAATTCAGCAGTTTTTTTAAAAATTTATTTTAAATCCATCCATCTAAAAAAACAGACTGAAAATGTAACCCAAGAGTTTTAAAAGATCGAGACATTGAATATTCCAAAAGGCCTAATTATTCACCTGATCCCCACATTTATTAAGAAGCACAAGGTAAAACTTAAGGCAGAAAAAATCACAGGAAAATTAAGCGCCTCATGGGGCATGCACATGTAAAAACATTTATATCAATTATGTCAATTAATTCAAGTCTTATTGCAGACAAAAGATTAGACAAAGACTATTGAATAAAATTGACAGTATGTACAATGATAACCATTTGAATCAGCACAATTACATTTGAGCTACTGAATAAGATGGCTCTAGAAGTAAAAGGTATTTAATTCTTAAGGATTTCCAATAATGTAAATACAAAAATACTTATGTTGATAATCAAGACAGTAAACCCATAAACACATCTGATTTAATAATGATAGTAATAACAATGAGTATATGTAACTGAGTACTGATACATGCTGGGCAATAAAAAATAATTAAAATGATTTTAGACATATAACATGATGCAATGTGAAATTAAGATATGTCCAGGGCTGACTAAACATAGCTATGATAAAAAATAAACAAAAAAACCCTGTAAGTATCACCAACAAAGCATCTTCTGTGCAGCTTTCAACAATTGTGTTTTTTAACTTTTAATTACTCATAACCTGCAATGCATGAGGCTAATGTCCCTGATAAAAGTAGGTCTCTTCAGTTAAAATAATGGTTATATTTCTTGATATTTTACATGCCAACTGTTGGATCTCATGTCACAGCTTTCATGAAGTCAACAGATGGTTGACTGCTGGCCAACCACGATGCCGGGTCTTAACTGTGTGCCATCTCAGATGGAATTACAGTTTCCAGTATTTGATTGCTTTTAATCATCCTTGTTTCATCTCAGAGGCCCTAATTTTCACATTTTTGCATGCTTATTAGAAAATCTTTCTCGATTTATTCACCTTAATGTTAGATGCCAAAATGATGCATATGGCTGTCTCGACTAACACCCCTTCATTTAAATCAATTTCTGTTTGTTTATTTTCAGTTGCTGCCAAGGACTTCTACATTTGGACTTGTTTATGAGTGTTGGGTGAAATTATCTTTGTGTCCAGAAATGATTAATTGGGTTAAGGTGAGTCTATAGAGAGATAAGAAATGTAAACAAATACAGTTCTGGGTGAATGGCTCAATCATTTCTTGTTCCTGTTATGAATATAATTCTATACATAAGGTTATGTTAGCCTACGAGATAAGGATATGTTTGTTTTTCAGAGCAGAGCACTTAAAACAAAGTATATTTGGCCAGAAACAAAAGTCTATGTCAAGATGCCTTAATGGCAAGATTTGTTAGGGGGAAAATTGCAAAAAAAGTTATTCATTAAACTTGAGACATCATTTCACATAAGGATTGCAGAGGCAGGACCTTAACCTTAATTAGAATCTTTGGGATGTGCATAAGCTTATTCAGATGATGAGGTTGTAAATGTATGCTGTACCTAAAGACTAGGGCCCAATGAAGCATAAGTATAATGTTCTGTAAAACATTTAATGTGTTAGTCCTGAATTCAGCTCATTGCCATAGGTCAGCATCAGAAAGGGATTGGTCTTTACATTAATTATTTAGTTGGTGACCTCATTCCAGTCCACTATGGGATATGATAAGGGAAGTCATGTGCCTGCAAAGGAGTTGCTGTAATGACTGCCAAAGCCTCAATAACATTTTGTAGATCTGGACCCTTTATGCCTGCAATAACTTACAACACAAAGCAACACCATGAGTGCACATGACTTTTTGTTTTTTGACCAAGCCGATTATTTATAACTGAAAATCACACCAACTGTAAAAAGCCGCTTAAATTTCTTCTATATTATCAGTTATCTTACATTTGCCTAGAACATTAAACTTAAGCCTGAGAGCCTACAGCCATGCCTGAATCTAGGTTACAGCCAACCACAAAAGTTTTTGATCTGATAACTTCTACATTCCAAAATGTTGATCAGAAACCAATAAATAATGAAACTAAGAGTTATTACAGTAAATTTCAAAGGCATCCAAGCCAGATTCGAAAGTAGTCAATTTATCAGTTAAACAAAAAGGTAATTAACTACAAAAATTATTTCAGCCGATCCCTTAACAACAAAAGTAGTCACCCTGTGATCATCGCTGGATCTAAATGTTTTATGTCTAAAATATCCACACTCGGCTGATCTACCTTTGCTCCATCTTTTAACTTACACAAAGGGAATTTTTAGGTGTCAGTATGTTATTCTTAGCGTTTGCTCATTTAGTTCTGCAGTTCATTGCCATTTTGAGCCCTGACAATGACATGTTATCTTGAATTACACATGATACGTCTCTGCAAGCATAAGTCAGAAGCAGCTGATATGAATAATTGACATCGTATAAAAAATGTAGTCAGTATCAAATACAACCATCTTGTGATGTCTATGTTTGATATTTTGGTTGTAAGTAGAGTTACAACAAAAAGATAAGAAGTTAGACAGAAGAAAAAAACATACAACTTGTGGGTATGTGTGAGTAAATGTAAACACTTATATGTCTATGTTGAGGGTTGAAAAATTCAGTCAACACAGCATAAAAAGCTGTGGGTAAGGAACTTTAATGACTTGACTAAACAACACCCTTTTCATTCCTGCATACACCCAAGAAAACAAGCCACTGGCGTAAGGGTTCATAAGTAGTTAGTTTAGTGCCGACATATTTTAGGCATGTTACTGATGTATGATGCTATATTAATGAGTGTAATGAGCTTTTTCTGCTAAAGCTTTGCCTAGGTTTAAGCTCTATGATGTGAATTTTAAATTCAGTTGTCTGGTATGAAAAAAATCTGTGAAGTATCTTATATTCAATTATCAGCTTTGAATCCTGCTGCTTTTAAATCCATTTATCTGGGTTTTGATTGAACCGTGTCCATCAGTCTACCCTCCATGGGAACATAAAAACTACTTACAAACTAGGAGATAAAGGCATTTTTCATTAACAGAGCCACGCTTTTAGATATAGTGTTACATATCTTTATGTTTCATATACTTTGACAATATTAAGTGCTTCACAGGGTCCTGATTCTTTCGACCCATGTGAAATTATCAAGTTCCCTAGCATGCTACATTAATATCATTTATTGATCAGAGAGAGTGAGAGTAAAAATAGCTGTTTTGGAAAAGTAGTTAGATCTCCTAAACCACACTGTAATGTTCCCATGAACTCTAAGTAATCCCCTATCTAATGACAGTCAGCCAGTGTTGATGTCCCAGATATGACCATTAAACTTTAGTGTGACATGATTATATGAAGGAGAGAAAGTGTGGTGAAGTTAGGGAAAGAGGAGAAAGACAGGAAAAAGCTCAACTCATTATTATTCAGTCCAATTTTCAGTTTTCCTCTCTTTTCCCTGTTTCACCGTGCATATCTCTGCAGGGACCCATTTCCCTCAAAAATTGAAAATTATGCCCACACCATTTATCTTTTCTTGTGATTCAATAATAGCTTAAAGAAATAAGGAAACGAGAATAAGGTGATTTTCAAAGAGAGGAACAATGTGTAATTTTCTTTGACAGACATCCTGGAGCAAATTGAATATAGATTTGTATTGTTATTAATTACTGATGGGCTCATTTGCTGAGTTCCAGACATGACAAATAATGACAATGTAGGAAGAAAATGTTCAGAGATTTATGTATTCTAAATTTCATTGTCCAGTTTTGCTCTGGTATTTTAATTTAATCAGAGTGCTGTGTTATAGAGAAAAACATGGTGGCGCCACATCTAAGATGTTTGATTTGGTTGAGCAGCACCCTACAAAGAAAGAAACAATGGTTAACTCAGCCTTGTAGGCTTGTGTTTATTAAAAATGGAAACTATGTCCTGCTTACATATGTCTCACAGAAATGTTAATTCTAAAAGAACATGAGATGGGCTAAGAAATGTGAATAATTTTCAGTTTGAAATATTTCATGTGCATTAACAACAAAAAAAATAAAATTTCAACATTTAAATTTGGAAGCTTAAAGACAGTTGGTAGAAGATATTTTGTTGCACTATCTTTGCTAAAATGATATTGAAAATACAGTTTATTATTTCCACTGTTCCCTAAATAACAGGCAAGCCATGCACTACTTACTGCAGGGCTATTAAGGCCCCACCCTGCATGCTTTTATTTCTCCATCACAAACAGAAGATGCTGAAATACTAAAGATGCTTTCTTAAGCTCACAGCTCTGACACAAACTGTTAAAGCCATATATTTAAGCCCATGGACTTCATTAAGTCAGTTATGTTCTGATGATACTAGGAATCAGATATTTTTTATATAGAAATATATTTTTTCTAGTGTGAACATTTAACTTAATAAAAAAATGTATTCATAGAGTTGCTTGCTATCTTTAAATGAGACATGCTAAATAGACATGGAAGGACTATTTCATTATTCATAAAATCTTTTTTGGTCATCTTATTCTATAGAAAAGTGTATTTCACACAAGCTGAAGTTAATTCAAAGTCTTTGGTTATTGATAAAATCCTATGCTGGATAATTGGAAATTCTCTGAAAATGTTGCTGTGAAATTTCCACTCAAGCATGGGTTAAAGATTCTGACTCTCAGAATGGAAAACTCACTTGTGCAATTTGGTGCTGTGCCAGACCATGTGCCATTCGCCAGACACTGGCGTGTAGGCGATCCAGTGAGGAAATATCCTTCCATACAAGAATACACAATGGAGTGAGGAAACGTTGTGCCATCCACACGGGAAACGCGGGCATGAGCAGGGGTACCTGGGTTCCCACATTGTACAGCTGCAACGCAAGGGAGCAAAGAGAGAACGTGAAGGTCAGTGGCGTAAAATAGTAATGAATTTTCCATATCAGTAATTCACAATTTGAGGTTTGATACCCCTAGGGTGGTTCAAGATGACTCCTAAAGGTGCAATGGTAATTCACCTGCTTTCATCCCATGAAAATATGAATACTCATGAAGGATATAACTGCTGTTTTACTTTGACCTGTAAAACATTTGTGTTTTTTTCAGCCTCAGTCTGATAACTAAGGTTGAACAGTCTATAAAAGAGAAATCAAACTTTTTAATGTGAGTGTGTGCGTGGCTGGTATTAGCAGACATGATGATTAGTCTTTTTTTATGGAAGATGTGAAACAAACCAGTGAAGAGACAGCAGCATGGCAATATCAAGAGAGGCTAATGAGCTGATTAAATTAATCAAGATGCATTTACAGCTTTCTGGAAATCCAAATAATTTTAACTTTTGATGTCAAGGCTCAAGGTCAGTTTAACACCGATTCAATTTATGACGAATGTGGGCAGTTCTTGATAATGAATAAACAGAATATATAAAAATTGAATTGGGCACTAAAATAAAGGTGTCATGTTACCATTTTAAATTAGTTTAATCTGTCTTTCTTCTCCTCCAAATCATGTCTAATTACAAAACTGATGTGCTCTCTCAACCATCTAATTGCCTGGAAAATCTGAAAGAGAGATTTTTGCCTTTGTGGATCACAATATGAACATAACACAAATACATTCCTGTGCGCATAATAAAGCATCAATCTTTCTGGAATCTTTTTAATAATCAAGGACACAATGGCAGAATAAAAATAAGATGGGGACTTGAGAGTTATTCAGCTGAATAGTCACGGTGACTATTTTCTGTACACTGCATAAAGAATGTGGATGAAGGATGGATAGGCTAAAATAATAGACAGGGATTTTAGATCACTGATAGCAGCAATGAAACTCTTTAATGCTCCACTGCCTGCCCCTCATACCATGGGGTGGAAAGTTCGTTAAACAATGTTTAACTTAGGAGTTCAGATGAGAGATAAAAAAGCAAATATGAGATTAAAAAAACAGATGGAGGAAAACATAAAGATACAGAAAAGGGATAGACAAGGATGTATTGAGACTGTCAGCATGAGTAATAGATCTAAGAAACAGCATAGAAAAAAAAATAAAGGAGAGGGATGTAATTAAAATGGATTCACAATGTTAGATTTTGATTGTGTTGACCTATTAAATGAAAAATTACACTTGTCCTGTTCCAAGCCAATGGACAGTGAGTAGAGAAGAACCAAAACAGTCAAACATTTAACTCAATATCCAGTTCACCCTTAAGGGTAATTAATGCAACAGCTGCTGCTCTGTAAGAGCATATCTTCAAAATCCAGAAAAAATAATTAATCCCAATCTAAGAAGAACCTCGCTTTGGGTTTCTGGACTTCATGTTTTCAGTTTCAATCTGGATGACAGTGACTGCACCATGTGCTTGCAAAAAACTACCATACTGCCACAGACAGACATTTATCCATCTGGTGGAAGACTGTGTGGATGATCTTTGCAAGCATCTGCGTATGTACTAAAACATAGCAAATATGTTGCATTCAGTACTTGCATGTTTAAAACAAATTGGCACAGTTTAAGATTATAAAAAAAACAAAAACACAGCAGATATATATATATTTTATATATTTATTTATTTTTTAAAACACTGGCAGTTGAGTAGCAGTACTACTTTTGTTACAAAAAAAGGGATTCCGGTCATTTTACCGCAATCAAAACGCAATCATCTTAAATGTTGCACCCATCTACCCCAGTTTGAAACAAATATTTTGTTTTTAATATATAGTCTACAAGCTGAGGTCATAACACTGCTGATATTAAATAACTAACAATCAGAATCTAAAAGATTTTGGTGCCAGGAGGATATCGATACGGGCACATGTCATTAGCGTTGTGCTATTAAATGCAGTGTGTGGGGCGTTGAATGTTGGGCTGCATGTAAAGATAAATGCATGTCAATCTGCTTGAGCCCTATCCTTTCATAACCTTTTGTGAAAAACAACCTACAGATATTTTTAAAAAGTCCCCTTACGCTTGCAGAATGGTTGTTTTCCCGACCAGGTCCCATTGGGGAAGCAGATCCTCTCTGCTGAGCCATAAAGTGTATGTCCCATTGCGCAAGTGAAGCGAACCTTGCTGCGCACTTTGAAGTTCCCCGCCTCCCTGCTGGCATGGGCAGGTGTGCCGGGATCTCCACAGGTGCCAGTGGAGTCACCTGCAATGGCAGATAACCAGACATGGACTGACTAAAACAAGATAGTGAAGAGGCCAGCCGCCTTAACTGTCTATCGGCGTGTGTTCACAGATGGATAACTTGAAATTGGTTAGGAAGTGGTTTTCTTTTTATCAAACACTGAAAAAACAGCTTATACACAGACTTTACAATCCTCTAGGAAGCAGCCAAAAAAACAAAATGCAACTATGAGCAGATGTTCAGCTTTTTACTTCAAGTTTTTCTTTTTTCTTTAAGGCAATGGTTACAGAGAACTATAAAAACAAGGAATATTTCCCCTTTGTAACCATGCCAACAACTGACAAACTCGGCACAGTTTGAAACCAGAAGCTTTGTGTACATAAAACCAGCAAGGCCAACATAAAAAGCATGAGAAATTCTGAATACAATTTGACCTTTTAAGTTACTGCAACTGTAATGCATTTTCAATATCCTAAATAATTCTGCTTTGTGTTCTCTGGAGGGAACTTACAGCACTTATAGAAGCATCAACCCACATCACGTCATGTTTGCCTACCAACTCGATCACATAAAAAGATGTGGTGCCTCATCAGAAGTCTGTTCATGTTTGCATTTGATGTAAATTTGGGATTTTTTTTTTCTAATCCACTGTGAATGTGAAAAGACACATGATAGGTATGGAATCAATGCATCATCATCACTATTTTTACATTCAGGATTTTACATTCAGATGATAGGCAAACCAAGCCAAGTGGTGTGTTGGTCAGGGTGTAGTTTGTCAGGCAGAGGCTGTTTTTAGTAGTGATATACCTGTAGCAATACAGGCCCTTGTAACAAAAACCATCACTTTCACTGATGCCATGGTCTGTTTTCTCACATAAATTAAACAAGTGTTGAAAAAAAAAGAATAATGTTCTTCATGCCATGGAACAATGTCTCAGACAGAAATACATACACACATATTGATACATACAAACATTCTAATAGACATCAAGTGGTGTAGTCTTTGTGGAAGATTTGTGGTTTGTTAGCCATGAGTTCCTGGTCTTTAATGTTTGTACAAACCCAGTTCATCCATCCCTGTGTATTTGCTGCCATTCTCCGTGGACAGACCACCAACAATTTGCTGTGTTGCTGGACATGTTGACAAAGCCTTGCAGCAAAAAACACAAAGCTCATCTCTTCCACACACATCTCACTGCTCGAGCGTACAAACTGCATTAGTCAGGTGAAGGACTCTCATCCCAAAGGGGATGATACTGTGTGTGGCTGAGTCTGGCGTTGCATGCATGTGTCTTAAGAGAAATTTAACTGATGCATCTGCATGTATATGTATCCTCCAGCATGTATTTGAAAGCGACTGTTAAGTGTGAATACTTATGTGTTGCCTGGGTGAGTGTAAGTCTACACATCTCATAGCAGCTGTCGGCACTTCATTAGTCTAGGTGAGGCAGCCTGATTTGACATGCACCATGACAGCCATAATCTCACTAATTGGGATGGCGGCTGGATTTGGTGTGAAACTGAGTTAATGTCCATTCACCAGGATCCCTTGGTGAGGAAATAATAAGGCCTTAAACTCAGCCAAGCAACAGATGAGGGCAAAAGGGATACAGCTTGGCAAGCAGACTTATGTGCCATCTTACTAATTAACAAGGGAGGACAGATGAGAGCATGGATAGATGCATGAATGAATGCATGGACGAGAGCAGAAGCTGACGCTAGAATGAACCTCTGAGTAAATCAGTCCATATTATGGAGATGGGGAAAATAGTGTGCCATTTTCATAATGTCTACTCTTCATAAAAAGCAACCAATAGATTATGGAGCAAGCTTTCTGCAAATAAACATAAGGAGTCAGTAAATACTGACGAGAAAGTTTGGATTATACAGACAATTATCAAGAAAAAAATACTTAAATACTTAGTTTAATAAAACTAGGTGAAAAATGTAGACAAATTTTACTTTCAAAGTGTTTGCAGAAACTATCAAGTTCAAGCTGGGGTATATAGCAGTTTCTGCTAATGTAGAAACAGATGTTTAGTGCCACATAAGTCCATCAGTTGTCTTAGAAAGTGATTCATGGTGGATTGTTTTCTCCATCATAGCCTGCTCATTTACTCACTAATCACAAATACTGAAGAAAAAAAATCCTTTGTGAGAATATGGAACTGAGTTGAATATCTAACAAAAATGTTAATATCAATAGTGATTGTTCAGACAGTGTTTCAATGTACTGAAGGTAAAGTTCAACTGTAAATTAAATGGTTGAAATGGAAAAAAGAAACAGAGCATATTTTTCTAAAAGTGTGAGTGATTTTGTTTGTGCACCGAATTAGTACAAGCCACATTTTGTTCTCTGAATATAAAGTTTATAATCAAAATGCATGTAATGCTCATATGAGTCAACCTCTACACCTATATGTTTCTTACAGTTACATAATTTACAGAATATCTAATAGTTGCTTCAACCCTGTTACACTGTGGCATAAATTCCAACAGGTATTCTGCAAAAGAAAACTATAAGATGGGGGCTCGACTTTAACGAGTCCTGGAGGGCCAACTCGGTAAACTAACCATCTGGTTTAGAAATATTGTTGCCAAGTTCACATATTCATCATTTGTAGCATTGTTTAGATAAATCTAACATAGACATGAATGTCAGGGTTTGAACTTTCCCCATCAAACACTTGTCCAGAGCATCACAGTGTCTCCACTGCCTTGTGTTTTTCCCCAGTTGTTATAGTCAATAAGACAAGCCCATGCACCATACCATGAAAGGTTTTCAGCAACTAGCAACTGGAGCAGTGGAATAGAACCGCATGCGCCAGTCTTTGCTCTTCTCTTTCATCAGTAAGCCAATGGCCCGTATTGACTAGTTGCCACCAGCATGGTGTTTTGGGCTTTGGCTTGAAAATGGAGCAACTCTTTGCAATCACGAGTTTCCTCGGCACCTTCAAGAACCCAACTACATAACTGCCTTACTACGTGTCTGAGAAAACACATCATTCTGAAGGTGAGTAGAGTACTAACTGCCTTTTGAAGAGGAAAAATAAAAGGCAACAAGTCCGCTTACAGACATTATTTCTGGGTCAGAGATTTTAACAAATCAAGTGAACATTCACTAAGGAGACTTTGGATCTTCAAGACTGCTCAAGTGTGATGGAAAAATGAGGCACTGTAAGGATTAAGGGGGAAAGTTTAAAGCTCTGTAGACATACAAAGTGTAAGACATTTTTTGGCCTGCCTTTGAGAAACTGTCAAGAAGGAGTACACTAAATGTATCATAACCAAAGAAGCAGTGTAATCAGTCAGAGATATTTTTTGCAGTCGTCCCTTATTCCTTTTATGTTAGGGTGATTTTGCTCATTCAACTGATTCAGCAAAGGTAAAATTTGGTTAAACATTTTTTCCCTGAGCTGACATGTGAAGTCACACCATCCTATATGCACAAGAGGAATGATGGGTTCATGTTGTTGTTTGGCATCTGTGGTGTTTTCAATTTATCCCCTTTCAAATACAGATACATTAGATCGTCCACAGGATAGTATGCTCAGACATGTGGTTCATGAGGGAATAAATTGGGTAAGATAAAGGTCAATCCTTTTGAGAACAAGATGCCTTAAAAAACACAGCAAAAGCTCCAGAGAGGCCTATTTGAGTGAGACAAATTGGCACAGCTTGCTACAAACTAAAAAAATACACTCATGCACAGACTGTCACATGGATAATCTGAGTGTAGAGAATCTTTGTCTAATTGGAAAAGGTTTCGCAATCTATAAATTAGAAAGACATTGCATGTACTTTGATTGTTTTTTTAGCCTGACTGACCACTCAAAGAGCTTTTACCAGTTTCACTTATTCACACACAGCCACAAAGTAAAACTCAGTCTATACATTACTATAGGCTACACAATTCACATACCGATGAACACATCAAAGGGAACACAAAAAGTTATGTGTACTGTCCAAGAACACTTCTTATCTCTTAAGCTGTAGACACCCACTAATACTCTAATACCTATGTTTAGATCAGAATCAGAATTAGGTTAAACCACCGTTTTTCAATAGAATAAAGATAAAATGAAACAAAACCAAATAGAGGGGAATATAAAACCTCGATATAAAAACAAAGACTTTACACAAGGTGCAGTGGGTTAACTTAAAAACCAAAACAATTATGCAAAAAGAAGCAAACGCATCACCAGTGGACAGTAAAAAAAACAAAAAAAAAAAACACTTTCAGTGCATCATGAACCACAGCACAGCCACATGAATGTGGCACATATATTTGAACAACTGTTGGCTGGATGGTGGCAGTGCACAAGACTTTATATCCTATAAGTTCTAAGCATTGTTGTTTTGCTTCCTTTTGAAAGAAGGAAGCAGTGTGACAGCATCACTAGTCTCCCTATCCACTCCAGACGGGTGGTTATATTCAGTCTACAAATGGTGCCACCCATTCAGAAAGGAATGGCAATACTTTTATATGTTTAGCAGCGACAGAACCTGGGCACATTGCAGTCATTGATTGAACAACCAACTTCTCTAGAGTGTGATGCTTCCCAAAAATTGGGACAACCATCTCTAAAATTCTAACAACTCCACAACAAAGTGGACCAACACAAAAACATAAAAATAAATAGAACAGTAAAAATAGTTCAATATTCAATTTACAGATTTGGTCCAGTCAAAGTTTGGATCTCAAGATGTCTATATACTGAAAATCTAAGTCGATATGAACAAAATGAAATGCAGTAAGAAATATCTGTGTGTTCGTATACCTGAGCAGTGAGGAAGTGGGCCACTCCAGTGTCCACTCAGTTGACAGGTGAGGGCTGAGTCGCCTATGAGCTGACGGTCTCCAAGGCAAGAGTAACGAACGGTAGAGCCAAAGGTAAACTTCTCGCCACTCATCACAGTGTGGGGTGGTGTGCCTGGGTTGCCGCAGTCTACCTCTAAATGAGAGTTGGAGGAAGGAAGAATCATTGTGATGGAGTAAATAGATCGACTCATGCTGCATACTGTAACCAGCAAACATGCCAGTAATCCTCTGAAGTTTTGAAAATATGAGAAGTTAAGACTGTCTTAAGAGTGGAATTAGAGACATTTTCATAAAAATACAATAGAAGCGTGTCCAAACTTATGTACTTTCTAACTGGATCTTTCCAACTGTTCTTCAACATTTGGAAGCCAGACTGAGCGACACTGGGATCAGGTTACTTGTGGAGGTAGCCGTTTTATCAATGCAAATTGTTTCGAGGATCATAGCCTTCTTGATCAAAGTGGGTTTTTTCTCCAATACACCTCTGTAGTTACCCTGCTGTTTATTTCAGCAGTTTCAAGTTAGTTTAATTTCCTCAGCATCCAGAATTTTGTCCCAGAAGGGATATTCGTGGTTATAAAAGTCAGCATGCAAATCAAATGAGCAAGATTTGCTTTACTTGTTTCTTGTGCCTGTTAGCTCAGTATAGAAAAAAATGAAAAAGCTGTGTCATTGAAAGTATACTTGTATGTTTCACAAAACAACTGAATTTCTGGGTTTAAACATCTGGAATGTTTTCCAGGATTTTCTGTTATTTATAGGGTTTAAAAAGTGTTTAGTCCTCTACTAGGTTACTTGGTATAGAATATTTAAAAGGCAAGTTTGTTTATTTTGATCTAAACGATGTTATGCTTGAGATGGGTCAAATTGGTTCAACTTAGTCTCATAATGCATGGAGTTTCTATGATTTTACAAAACTAACCAACTGAGCGAACATCCGTGATGCCTGGAGCAGTGGGTAAACATGTGAATAACACGCTCCTGTCTCTATAATTTACCGTTTCATTTGATAAAATAAATGCTGCACCCATCATGTTTCTGCCTCGCAATAAAGTGTTTTTGGAATGACTGCAAAATGTAGATGATTCATTTTGACAATTTCACAAGAAATAGGTCGTTTTTGTTGGCAGACCCATACATTAACAGGAAGCACAGTGAAGCAGGTGTTCACATTAAAAACATAAAAGCCCTGGAGTCCACGGCTGGAGTTAAAATCTAAGTGCTTAGTTTTGAAGAAACATTAGCTGTACCCTAAAGGTGGCAGTTGTTCAATTTGCAGGTGAACAGGATGAAACCGAACCACAAGCCAGTAAGACATCGCACATTGCAGTTCTAGTCAAAGAAATACAAAACTTTCACAATTAAAATGTCAAAGAAATAGGCAACGCACAAAATTTGTTAAAAACATTTTTTAAAAAGGCAGACAGAGTCACTGTACCAATGCATTCTGGGAGAGGTTTGTCCCAGTGGCCCTCTGGCTGGCAGGTTAGCACGGATGAGCCAAACAGGTCATATCCAGGGTTACAGTCATAGAAGACAACACTCCCGAATGTGAAGTTGCCATGCTCAATCTTACTCTCCCGTATAGAGTTGGCAGGGATACCTGGATCTGTGCAGTTCACAACTGTACAAAAAATGTTGAAATATAATTATGTCATCATTCATTCCTTGAATAGTTTGACCATAATAAAAAAAATAAGACAAAATAATATTGATAGTAGTATAGATATTTGTATTTCTGCAAGGAAAATGGCAGCCAACATAAGTTCAGGCAAAACACTATTGCAATTGAATGACTTATGGGACAAAAGGCTGAAAAAAGGTCCCATGACATTTTCCAGCCCCCGTTTTGCTCCAATACAGTCCTCTTTATTGATTTTTTTATTTTTTCCATTTATTTTCTCTTAATCATAAGTGCACAGAGAATCAATTAATGATGAGCTGAACTGTTCTCATCAGATTTTCATAAACATCCATTTCTTTTGGTTTTTAGAGACAATGTAAATAAATGTTTGTACAGCAGAAGACATAGTAATCCAAAGTAAATTGTCACTTCTTGGCAGCATTTCAAATTCGATCAAATGTGTCAAAAATGTCTGTGTGGTTAACTCTGTTATATTAAGTGAAAATGTATATAAGTAGTTTAAAATGATTAAACTACTAAAACTGAAAATACTAAAATGTACTACACATTGTAAGAAAGCTACAATGATATATTTTCTCATATCACTTTCATTCATTAGATTTGGCAGTTCTCTTTATTACAATTGCTAAATTATACACATTCTGTGAGCTATTTGGTACATATCAGTTGTAAAAAAGTATTTTGCTTAGCCAGCGCACTGGGTAAAATGACACCAAACAGTTATATGGTAATCTGCCTAATTCACTCCATAATGCAGTATCACTGGGGATGTTTTCTTGCAGCTTTGCAGTTCCTTGCTTGAGGGTTATTTTGCATGGATGCTATCCATCTGGATGTTGACTTGTAAGTTAATAATAAAAGAACTGTAGGCATGTTGATTGCAGTGGCTTTTAAACAGATTTTAATAAAAATGATAAATATAATAAACCCAAGGCCCTTTTGATCTTTCCCCAGGTCTGTCTCAGTGGTATTTTTTGCATAAATAAAAACTTCATCTCTTGATAGCCCATTGCCAACAAAACTAATGCCAACAGAGTTAAATGTTTAAATGTCTGCCAAATGTAGCTCTGGTCCACTGGGTCCAGAGCCAGCAGATAACTACAATCAAAGCCATGCTTGCTAACATTTGAATAATCTTTTTCATGAATTAATCATTTAAAACTGATTTTTGGTACTAATCAAATAAACTATTACATGTCTTTTAGGAGATTTTGAATTAGGTTATATAAAAATATACAACAAATCCCAAACTTTCATCTGATGCCAAGATATTCCTTTTCTGGCATATCATGAAAAAGCCTAAATAAATATGCTAAGCATGTTAATTTGATGCCATCAACACCATGATACCATGATTTGGGCTAAGTTATGAAAACTGTACCCAAAATCCTTTTAATTAAATTAACATTTCTCTAGGTATTATTGCACATCAAAACATCTGTATTGGTGCTTACTGTGAGTGCACCACTAGCAACCCTAACTTTTGCAAACTACAAACCAGCCACACATAAATGAACAATTATGAATATGCAGCATGCAGGATTCTTCTAATGTGTTGCAGTTAATGCAGCTTTTGCTTCTTCAAAGCAACTGTATCCAAAAAAACGGAACTATCTCAATTTTCTTATTTTTTCTGTGAAAGCTTTTGGGCAACTCCAGTAGCCGCTTCTGAAATACCTCAGAGTTTAGTCATAGTAAGAATACATATGGTAGACAAGGGATGTCAACAACTACCATACGTGCCCACACTTGTGTACTTCTCTGACGTAAAGCTGGGCTATCATTTATACATTCTAGAAGTTTCTCTGTTTGTAGGACTTTACCTCTGCATGTTGGAGGCTGTTGGCTCCACTGGCGGTTGGCCTGGCACTGGGCTGTGGAGGGTCCCTCCAGGGTGTAGCCTTTGTTGCAGGAGAAGCGCACAACATCATTGTAGTTGAAGCCATCACCCGTGGTGCGGCCATAGATAGGACTACCAGGGTGGCCACATGTGACAGCTGAGCAGAGACACAGCACACAGGTAATTATGGAAGGAGGCAGTAGAGGGGATGACGAGGTGATAGGCACCAAAAAAACTGATGAAAAAAATAATAAAACAGAGAAAATTCAATAACAATTGTACAGGTCACACACAGTGAACTTATCTCAGAAGATAAAGTGTGTTAAGGGATTCAAGACATGATCGCGTTCATAGAAGACTAAAAAGTACATTTCAATTACGAAATATATGAACAGAAGGTTGAGAATATTGATAAAAGTTTATAGACCAAGTACCAATTCAAAAGTCTGTAGAGCTAAATGAAACACTGTTGGGAATTGCAAAAATAAGAAAAATACAAAATTTTACACATTCTTTTTTCATTTGTTGTGACAATTCAATACAATTATGTGCTTTACTCAAAAGTTAAAGAATTAAGCTAACAGCAGAATAATGTAAAACAGGCACATGTCCTTTCCAATATAATTGTGTTGTTTAGTGACAAAAAAAAAAGATCTTGCTGGTTCTAATTTGCCAGTGCAAGTTTAACCATTGCAATCACATCCTTATAACTAATCAGATACACATGGACCCAAAATGTATAACCCTATTTGCTGGCAGTTTATGAGTGAATCTGAGTCAATGCTAAAGTACTTACGAATACAAACTGGAAGGTGTCCGGACCAGTTGTGGTCCTGCTGACAGATTCGTACAGAGGAGCCAATGAGCCTGAACCCAGGGTTGCACTGGTAAACCACCGTGTCTCTGTAGCCAAAGTTTTCTCCAATCACTTGCCCATTCACAATTTGCTCAGGCATGCCGCAGTGACCAGCTATAAGTTTTAAAATGGGTAAAATAAGAGTTATTATTTCATCTATGTCTGTCATTCTTAACTTTTTTAAACTGTCAACCTCTTATTTCACATTCACAGGATGGCACATCATCTTCCCAAAAATCGTCATTATTAGAAGAGAGACCCTTTTTTCAGAATTTAAGAATTATGATGCTTATAATCAAAAGGGAACTTGGAAAGTGTATTCCATCCTTCTAAGTGATTCATTCTAAACATGGACTTTGCTCTCTTAACACTGCGAAAGAAATGCATATAAAAACCTCATTTTTTTAAACAAACTAAGCAAATATTAAGTTGACTGTTGAATGTTGGTGCCAAAGAACTTATGAAATAGTGAAATGTTGTTTGCACATTTATAAAATACATAGTGTGTAATGCTTGATGTGTACAACAATATACTGTAATTGGTCATACATGTTTGGCAACAGAAAAAAACTAGATTAACTGCTTCCCCATCTCTTTCTACATGGGGAATTTTTGCCTAGGCAACAAAGCTAATGTTCAGTCTAAATAAGCAAGTGATCTTTGACCAGACTCTGCTTACCCAGGCACAGAGTCTCCATCCCACTCCAAAGGCCAGACAGAAGACATTCTCTAACAGTGGATCCAGTCAAGACATATCCAAGGTTACAACTGAAAATGGCAGATGCCCCAAAGGTAGTTTGAGTCCCAATTTTCTTTACATTAGGAGTAGTTGGCAGATCACCACAGGATATGACTGCAAAAAAGATTAAGGAGAGGGTAAAAAGGGAAAGGAAAGACTTGGAGAAGGCTCAAGCAGAATGTATAACAGAAGAGAAAAAAACAAATTATGAAATTGAAGTTAGCTTTATCTTTAGAGTGAACGGGAGAGCATAGTCATCTACACCCATCTTACTGGCATTAATGCGATAAAAAGTGACCAATACTGTTTCATAGAAAGGACAATGATATTATTTGCCTTGCTCTCAATATCTTTCAATATAATGTATCTCTTTCTTCCATTCCATGGACTATTTGGCTTCCTGCTTCTACAAAAGCTGTTTCCATGGCAGCAGAGAAGAGTTCCATTGTCAGATTTCCACAATAAACAATATCCAACCTAAGCTGAGAGGGGAACGGATAAAAAGGAACAAAGTCTATAAATGAGAACTGTAGATTCGACTGTTATATTTTTAACGATAATGGAATGGAGTTCATTTAAACCAACTTTAAGTTTGATCCTCTATTTACAGTGGGAGCTTTGCTGCTATTTGCATGTGAGCATTAGTGGAAATGAGCAGTGGATCTGTTGCAGTCCCCTAATTTACTCACTTCTACACCGGGGTCTCTCATTTCTCCAGCTCCACACACCATTGGACAGACATTGGATGTGCGCCGGGCCAATGCGGTAGAATCCAGGGTTGCATGTGAAGATTATTTTAGTTCCAAACTCATAGTGTGAACCATTGACTATCCTCCATCTCCCATGGTCCAGAGAGAAAGAACTCAGACTGGGGCACGTCATCACTAAAGAGAACAAAAAAAGCTGACTGAATTAATAGGTGATGAGAGGACACTGTTAGCTATGAATCATCCAAATAACACAACTTCCTTCTCAAGTTCTCTCTCAACCTTTGTATAAAAAGTTCAAAACTTATGACACGCCACCAAAGCAGAGGAAATAAGTTGCAAAACAAGGGGCATAATGATTCAATCAAAGAGCAATGGTTATATGAAATGCTCCATTTGTGAAATTATGCTTTTCAATGAGAGTGGTTTCAAAACTATTTCCCTTTTTGCTTCCAGACGTATTTGAAGTCTGAGTTAAGCACTGGTCTCCACATAAAGTATCAATGACTATTTGCACAACTCTCAAAATAAAAGGACTTCTAAGGGGATAAAACATTTGTCTTGCAGATAACCTGTTAACTGATGTCCATCCATATTCTAGTGCATGCTCAAAGCGGGAGACTGGATCAAAATTAAGTTTTTGTACAATCTCTTGATTTCAATTGAACAAAATCAATTCAATCATTTTTATTTGAATGGATTATGATTGTAATAAAATTAATTGGATTCTAAATGGCTTGAACTGGACTGTGCTCAAACTGCTTTAAGATTACATTTTTGGAATTTGGCAATGAGTATGAGTAAAACTGAATTTAACGTTCTTCCACTCATATAAGTACGATATCATCATCTCCCAGCTTTATCCTGCATTACCATGTGTTTTCTTCAGATTTCCCCTACTCTCTAAATCATGTTCCATCTCCCTTTATTCCCCTCTATCCTCCCCTCAGCAATTCTACTCACCGATGCATCGGGGTATCTTGTTGTGATTGCTCCAGGTGCCGTCTGGCTGGCAGACTGTCGTTGTCAGTTCTTTGGAGGACAGCCGGTAGCCACTGTTGCAGAAGTAGGTCACACGTGTGCCGACGGAATAATCAGCAGCAAGCACACCTCCGTTTACTGGTGCAGTGGGCGCACCGCATGACACAGCTACAGGCAGTAACAGGACTACTGTCAGCACACATTTTCTTGACAATAATATTTTTTTTGTATCAGGAACCAAGTGAATACATAAGATCTTTGAAGCAAACTAATCATGTCAACTTTAATAATTTACAAATGTTAATGGTTTCCTTTCTAATGGTTTTGGATTCTATGAGTAAGAACCAAAACGAGAACAATTACATGTTTGTATACGGTCGATCATGTGTTGCAGAACCTAAAAGAGAACCTTGTTCATTTCAGACACCTCAAGATACAGCTCCAGAGCAAAGCTCTTGTGTAATTAACAACATGAATAACATCTGCATTCAGGTCTTTTGGGTCTGAGGTAGAGTACAGACTCTGTGCCGCCAACCTCTAAGAAACAGCTTAATGATGCATTTATTAGAGCTGAAATATGGGGAACAAAATTAGTTGAGAGCTTCGAGCACGTTCCGGGGGAGGTCGGGGACAATGAGTCCGAGTGGGGCATGTTTTGGGCCTCCATTGTCGACGCGGCTTCCCGGAGCTGCGGTCACAGGGTTGTCGGTGTCTGTTGTGGCAGTAACCCTCGAATCCGCCGTCAGGGATGTCGTCAGGCTGAAGAGGGAGTCCTTTTTTACATGTGTGGGGGGGGGGGCAGTGCTCCACCAACCCTTTCTACAGTGGGGGTGGTGTGCTGTTGACCTCAACTCGTGACGTTGTGGGTCGGTGGGCGGAGTGTTTCGAAGACCTCCTCAATCCTACTGGTGCGTCTTCCATTGGAGGGGCAGAGCCTATGAATCTAAAATCTGGCTTTCCAATTTCTGGGGTTAAGGTCACTGAGGCTGTCAAAAAACTCCGAAGTGGCAAGGCTGGGGGTAGACGAGATTTGGCCAGATTTCCTCAGGGCTCTGGATGTTGTGGGGTTGCGTTGGGTAACGTGACTCTGCAACATTGCGTGGACATCATGGGCAGTTCCGCTGGATTGGCAGACTGGGGTGGTGGACCCCCTATTTTAAAAGGGGGACCAAAGGGTGTGTTCCAACTACAGGGGATCACACTCTTAAGCCTCCCTGGGAATGTCTATTCGGCAGTTCTAGAGAGGATAGACCGTCGGATAATCGAACCTCGGATTCAGGAAAAACAGTGAAGTTTTCGTCCTGGCCGTGGAACACTGGACCAGCTCTATACCCTCAACGGGGTCCTGGAGGGTGCATGGGAGTTCGTCCAACCAGACCACATGTGTTTTGTGGACTTGGAGAAGGCATTCGACCGTGTCCCTCGGGGTATCCTGTGGAGGGTGCTCCAGGAGTATGGAGTATCATGCTGATACATGATTACACTATTGAAATTATACATGTATTTAAACACACAAGTCATACATCACGCACATTGGACTGGTCAAAATTAAAGTCTTCCAAATAAACAATGAGATGTTGATATAATCTTGCTTAATGCAAAATCAGTTGCATCAATCTGTAAGTGTCAACCAAGCCAAAAAGAACACACACTAGTAGTTGATTTACTATTTTCTTTTTTTTTTCCAGAGAGGCCAATCAAGGAGTAAACTGAAACACATTAACTGAGATCACGGGTAAAAACAGCACACAGCAACTACACAAACTGAATCTGGGTTCTGAGCTACGACCAAAAAGAAAGCTTGAGTTAGTTGATTTCCAAGGTGTTTTACTTTGGTAACAAGTCAGAGGGACAGATGGCAGTACGCAAACCAACATCTGCAGGGCCAGAGTAAACTGCAACACGTATGCAAATACCAACATCTTAAACTTCGAGCAGTAATTGCATGCTGTAAATCAAAGGCTGGTGTCTGTCGACATATTAAAGTACCATTAAAAGACTCCTCCCCCATGAGAAAATCAACTATAATAAATGGTGATGTTTCTATGCATGTCATCTTTAAGATCAATGGAATGCAATATTTCCTCTTCAGTATTTGCCAAAAAAACAGCAACAAAAAAAACTAACAGATGGGCAACATCTATATGAATATATAATTTCATTTTTGGCTTTATGCACTCTAGAAAAGCTTTTGCACTATTACCAAACTGATGGAACCAATCACAAAAGTGAAATTCCATTAAATCAATCGCAGTACATGACATATTTTGATTTTAAATCATCGTGATAGAATGCTATCTCACACCAAATCCATAGAGTTTTTCTTTTGTGTGTCTGTGCATTGCTGTGCAAGTGCATGCGACCATGTGAGTATCAATGCACACATAACACAAGCACATAAAAAAACGAATTAGTTCAGGGAGACCCAACAGTACTGAATGCTAATGAAAACATTTCAAAGTATTTTGAAGAAGTGGAGAATACAAGTGGATTGATTTTTGGTTATGTTTCACTTGATAGGAAACTGCCTCTTAATCAGGTTGGATTCAGTTCAGCAGACACCAACATACGAATCAGGCATGAGGAAAATGCTTGGGTGAACTATATGTCTGTTGCCTGCAGAGAGAAGGGGTCATAAAGGCAGTGACCAGAAGAATGGGGATAGTCTGAAGCTAAAGGTTAAAGGGCCTATATAAGCTCACCTTGACATGCAGGAACTGGGGTGTCCCAGGCATAGTAACCATAGGTGGTCCTCTTGCAAACAGCTGTGCCTTTTCCAATTAGCTTGTATCCCCTGTCACAAGCCCAGCGCACCATGCTGTTAAGATGACCCCCAGTCTGGCTCACAACAAAGCCATGTTGTGGGGAGTCTGGGGTACTGCAGTACATTGCTACAATAGATGAAGTTATAAAGGCACAGTGTGGTGCACAAAAGAAGAAAACCAAGGCAAGAGTAGGTGTTAGAATGAAGTCAACAGAAAAGATGGAAAGGTAGACAATAAAAGAGAAATATAGATAAAGAAGAGAAAAAGATGAGAGGCATTAACAAATGACAGCTTTAAAAATCATTAAGGTGACTATTTCTCAACATGATAAGACTCCATTTGGAATGCAAAGACATAATGAGTAGGGTCACATTACACAGCACTTTCCTGTGCGCGACAGCAAACAAAAAGGTATCTCAAAATCACATCATCTTCATTTGTTCACGGCCAATGGGCATGCACATATTCAGTTTGTTCTCACGCATGCAATCAGCAAAGATATTCCTTCATTGGTCACACATAAGGGGAAATTTGAGAGGGAAATCATCCTACAGTGATTTGTTTCACCGCATTTCTTTCCACTTTAATGCACCTTATGAATCAAAAAAGGCACATTTGATTGCAAGTATTTGAGCAGCAAATGGCTAATGGGACAGAAAATCTAAGGAAGGGCTACATGCCTTCTGATATCTTTCACTCTTAAATCAGAGAGTGGAAGATAGATTTAAGATGAAAAGACACACTGGTGTTAAAATCAGTTCCTGTTTAAGTCAACATATTCAAGAAGTAGTTCTCTCTACAAAATTTATCACAATGAATTGCTTTCACAGGAACACTCTTGTGCATTGAATATAATGGTGAGACAACATGAGAAATTTATATCTATAGTTCCATTTTTGTAAGAGTACTGATGCGTTTCAAATGGAATAAGATGTCTTTGCTATTCTGGCTTAGAAACACTTGCTTTATTAAAGAGTCAATTAAACATTTAAACCCTGTGAAATTAAGAGGTACAAAACAGCAAGCAAGTCACTTTTGTCTGCCTCTTGCCTTCTAGAAGTAAAAACATCTCCCACTGTGAACTTCCCTTTTTCAAACATTTTAGTTAAAAAACTATAGAAAGAATATCTAGAAACAATCACATCAGACTGTGATAAAACTCATGGTGTCACTCGAGAAAGGATACAAGTACAGTACATCTGTGACTGCTGAATGGATATTTAACTACAAAAACAGCCACTGTAATATATGGCATAAATAAAATGGTATGTTTGACAGTTTCTACAAAAATTCAACAAAAGGAATTAAATAGATGACATGTTTGTACTTGGTGACGTAAAGAATATTCTACCCATTCAACCCCACACAGTGCTTAAAGTAAATAAAGGTTTTCGACCCATGAGCTTTTTCACTTGACTGTAGGTTAAATGCAATATTGTAACAATAAAAAGAGAGTATGATTATAAGATGGATACATACTTTGATACTCACCCACATATCTGATGTGGAAGCCGCGGCGGTTGGTGCCATGGTCAGAGGACCAGCGCAGTAAGAGCTGGTGGCCGGTGGTGGTCAGACTGAAGGGGGTCTCTATGTCACCACTGAGCGTTGAAAGACTCTGACTGTATATGTTGGGACCTAAACACAGAGACAAATATTAGAGAGAGAAGTGACACTTTATCTGACAGTCGTGTCTAAATAGTGTTTGATCATTTTTGTGTCTCAGTTTTATCAGATAACGACATGACTCCAGCATTACGCACCATCAAATATTTCCAAGATATCAAACTCTTTTTCGGTCTGAAAAAGTTCAAAGTGCAAAGTGATGTTGTAGCCTTTCTCTACGTTGATCAGCCAGGAGCACATCTGAAGATTGGGGTAGTTTTCAGGGTAGCCAGGACTTAGGATTACGCCAGTAGAGTCAAAGCGCACTTCATGGGCCGGGCATTGCACTGGAAACACAGAAATGGGGAAATAACACAGAAATAACTCTATTTAGGCAAGATATAGAAGCAACAGAGAGAGAAGAAAAAGCAGATAGTAGACACAGAAAGATGTCCTATATCAAATATATATATATTTAATACATATATTTTTTTTAAAACAGGAATTTTCCACTGAAAACAGAAAAGTCTGATGTTACCACCAGGATTTTGTGATGAGAGTCTATATCTAACAGCTGGACACAGGCAGTTTGCTTCGCACAGAGACATTTTTGTCAGTATGTGCATGTGTGGGGGTGAAAGAGACAGGAGAGAAGGAGTAGCCGTCGTTGCTTGAAGTCTGGAAATAAGCCCTGTTTCTTTTGTTTCATTTTCTGCCAATGACAAAAGTTTCTCTTGAGGGCCACTAGTGAAGAAACATGATTCAGATAAAAGGTTAATGTGAACAGCTGTTCCAGATAAAAAGGTCAGGGGAATATTTGGACATGTATCAAAAAAAGAAGAAATAATATTCTTGCTAGAAAGCTATTACAGAGGCTTTGACGCTTGGCTCAAAGATAATGTGAAGAAACGACTTGCAAAGTGTCTAAACCAGTAGTTTGGTTTCTTTTTTTTTCTTTTCTAAACATGCCTACAGATTTAAATATGTACTGTTGTCAAGAAGGCACTCAACCACTGTCATCAATAATAAGTTTAACCGATAATATTTATAAAAGAAATTATGCAAAATAATCTGTATTGGAGTGAAACACTATTTATAACATCATCAGTAGCAACAAATACCAATATGACATTAAGAGGAATCGAGGCGCTCACCGGGCTCACACAATGTTTATTATGAGTAGCCATTTATCTTCATTGCCAATTTGTGTGTTAGCCAGAAATGCATATTTTCCCCAACCATTCTTGCACAAATCTCTCCCTTGCAGGATAGTTTTGTTTGTGTTTGTTTTAAAGCCACACATTTGCTTTGATTTTGAAGCATTGTACTGATGTATATGCTTTATGATGGGCAGGCTCAGTATTAATCAGAACCAAACTGTATTGATAGAGCAATTAGGTTTTTGTTTTCGTAACTCATTCATATATGTAATTTTCCCGTTTTGATACATTTTACGCATTTATATCACAACATCTGACCACCCCATTCATATCAGTCATGTCTATATTTTCTATGTATGAAATTAGTCTGTTAAAATTTCTGAGCTTTATTTTTGTGTTTCTTTCAAAGCTGCATCTCTCGTCCCTCACAGTATTTCATGTACTTGGCTGACATACTGGACTGCATAATTATCTATACAGTGTATTCTACTGTAAGTATTACGTTTAAACAAATTGGGGCATTCGGAATGCAGTTTCATCAGGAAAATCGTGTAGGTCCAATTTATTTGCAAAAACTCTCACTTAGAAGACAAGGTACTGCTTACCTATAATTTTTCAACGATTAAATCTACCATGCTTTTCAATAGCTCTAATGCCAAGTTGAGTGGTTTTACTTCCATCAGAAGTTTGGAAATTACACATGCATTCTGAAAGAGTTGGTATCTATTAGTTTGGCCTCTGGGCTTTCTACCAGTTTGATGGAGTGTAGCTCAGATGGTAGTGTGGTCCTCCCTCATATGGACGCTTGCTGATTCAAACACCAATTTGTATTGCCATTTTGAATCGAGCTTCTAACCAGTTTAGAAGCAATGTGGGTTCCAAACTATTTAAACACAACCCAGTTTTCAATCTCATTTTAGCGTTTTCTTTTGTGAAACATTCATATGAATATGAAATATACAATCATTCAAAACTCTAAAATGTAGTGAAGAATACCATCCAGCTGGTAAGCGCTTATATTTGATCCTCCATCAGTTTTTCAATAAACCACTGTTGCTGGGCAACAAACTCACAGCTGGGGCTTAAACCATTTTCAAAGGAACTTTCACTGTAGAGATAAAAAAAAAAGAATCATGAAAATATTTGAGACGCCTCAATCCTTTTACTTTTGAAGATGGTTTATGAAATACTGCGATATGGATGCTTCTACCTCAACAAATAGTCAAGAAAAATTACACAGGCCCACATTTACAGTATGTATCCATCTATGTCCTGGTTACTATATGCTCATGACAATAATGACTAAAATAAAGACATATAAATTAACCAGTACAATTCTTACTTTCCTTGTCACATAGCAGTATTAACTATAAAGACACAACTTCAACATTTTCTTTCTACAACCTTTTCACTGACATTACAATTGCTGAGGGGCAGAACTGGTACAGTGACTTTAGGGCATGGTACTTAATTTTTTTACCTCAGAGATGTCTACAAGAAAACATATTTTTTGTTGTGAGAGCAAGTTAAACCCAGCTATTTTGTATATATTGATGTAGTTTATTGTTCCTGGTCAGCAGCACAGTCAGAAAAAAATGAATTTGTGTATGCTTATGGACTACAAATTAATAAAATTCATTAAAATAAGTGGAACAACATCGGGTTCATAGAGAAAACTCAAGGCAAAAGTGTGGGTGTTTCTTGACTAAAATTATCCATATTAGTATTGCAAATAGCAAATTAAACTCTGCATATTTCCTAAAAAAAATTCTTGCGTTTGTTAGTATGATGATTTCGAGCTTTGAATACACATTTTCCTTGGAAACATTTGACTAGGTTTTTTCATGCAAATCAAAAATAATCCTTGTGTTTTGATATCAAGTTGTTTCCTGTCCAAAGTCCTTTCATGAATCTCAGTGTACACAGTGTCACACAGACATCTAACCCTCATCGACCACAGAACCCAAAATTAGCACTGTTGCACACATTATCCCAGTCAAAATACAACGTCACAGTAAAACATACATACATACAAAAAGATGGGGAAAGTAAAATTATGTTCGTCAAAATACTGGGGCTAACAATAAGAATTCTGAGAACATGCTGGACACAAAACTGTTATAAATCCAAGTCTGGATTCCAAATGCATTGATGAATTGATGTGTAATCAGTAATTGCTTTGTCTTTATATTATTTTTTAAAATATTATTTAGTTATTTCTTCTCAAAACCTTTGAGAAGAAATAAAAACATTTTTACAACCTGTTGGCACATTCAGTTATGCAACAGCCACTCAGTGGAGAAAAACCAAGTACAGTTACAGTCCAATAACATCATGTTCAGCTCTCAACATAAATGCATTGCACCATTAGCATGCCAGAGTGCAGCTTCAAGAATCAGGGTGGCTGGATTAGCAACTGCAGTTACAAGTGGCCATTATTACAAGCAGCGTAAAAAATGTTAACCAGCATCAGCAGGCCTAGCAGCCATGGCCACTAACAACTGTGTCTAAGGTGGATAAAACTGGCAGGGTAGAGCCATGTCTACAGGGAGTTGTTTTCTTCAATCTGTTTGTGCTGAAAGCAACAGAAAGGAATGATTTTAGAACCGTCATGCAACCACTTACTTATGACATCTGTTCAGGAAATTTTTATCGATATAACAACAGGCGTTTCTATTCAGAAAACCTTAGCTTTCTGGCCTCACCTCTGTGACACAACAATGGCTCTACTTTACAAATTCAAAACAGACTTCCACATTACAAATGTCTGATTTAGCAAATGGCATGAAATGACACATACAAATTCAAGAAAAACTTTGTCATATGGACAGTCATATGTACAGTTGACATCGGCAGAAAATAATTTATGAAAGGAGCAAAAGTACATAATTTAGGTCAAACTCAACTTAATGCAGCAGATTGTTTTCTCAACATAGTCAGATTTATTGTTGCTGTTTGTGATCAAAGCAACTGCACAACTTCCTCATTTGCTTTAATAAAGACAGAGCATCATAATTACATCATAAAGAGTATTTTGGGGTGAGCTTGCAGACATGAAATGACTTTTCAGTATCATCTCAAAAGCCTGACAAGAAAATCTACAGGGAAGTTGATGGCAAACTAAAATGGTATCAGGAAGCACCAGATAATTCTTTTTCCAAGCCTCAGCGCCAGAAAGCTGCTGATGGCAAATAGCTCCTTGTTCTTAGCTTACTGTAGCAGTCTCTAGAATGTGAATAGCAGGTCAACTCAAATTAAGTTCAACTTTACATGTCCCAAGGAGAGCAATTAGTTCCATGCTAGAGGTGCTGAGGACATAACATATCCAACATGAGAAAATGTAATGAATTCGTGACTGTAAAAATGAGGTGATCCATGAAAATGTCAAGCAACAAATTACCACCCCTAAAATTGTCCTAACTATGCTGATGTAATGCTAGAGGCACATTTAAAGGAGTAGTTCGAACAAGATGATTAGTCATCTGACACATTAACAGACGTTAAAAATACCTTTCACTTAAAGTTCCCATTGAAATGTGCACTTTACTGCTCAGCAACTACTTTATGTGGACATTTCTAACATAAATGTAACGCGAACAGCCAGTAATGAAACCTTTTTTTTCTCAAAAGGGATCACATGTTTAACAATCAGCATTGATTTTGTATTATCCACACCTGACCAACTGCCTTAGCATTATTCACATTCTATGATTGATGGCCTTATGTGTTGAACTAAAATAATTCCTACGTGCTGCACTGATCTGGATATGTGGGGGGCATTTTACCGCTCAAATTAATAGACACATATTGTGCTTTAGGCTCACAAGTTCAGAAAATTGGTTTGGGTTTCAACGAAATATCTGACATTATATCACTCAATTGCCAGCGATTCCAACTCTACTCTACCCTCTCCTCCACAAGGCGTACCTCAAAACAATTGGTGCACAGTAAGAAACTACCAATGAAAGTAAAGTCAAGCACAAATTGCATGCAATATCAGATACAAATTCCTTTTAAAGAATACAAAAATTCCAAAAGATTGCATTTCCCTTGACTCTAGTTCAATCACAGTCACACACTTTTTCACTTTCCAGCAAATCCTGTGTCAACTATAGGCAGATGATTCAATGATAACATCATAATTGTGTCTTAATAAAATGTTTAGAACAGTCATGCTGGACCAGTGAATCCTGAGCTCCTTGAAAGGGGGTAGCAAACACTGGTTTAGATCAAGAAAATAGAAAGAAAGAAATATTTTTATAACCTTTTACCCTCTTTGATAACCCTTTATTCTTTTTTCAAATGGTAAGCACTTTAAACAAATAATATGTTCTGAAAGACAAAAAGAAAATACTTTTGCTTTTTCTCAGTTCTATTCTCATTAAAGTCTGAAATTATTTCTGACATACTGCTGGATTTGGCACAAGTGGAAGGAACTAGCTTTCAAGGTTATATCTCCCTGTACTCTTAAGTGACTCTCTGTTAAATGGTTAAAAACATACCTAACAACAAGCACACAAATATATATCCCCTTTGTTTCCTTATTCCTTTCCTTAGCTACGGTGTACATTGAAACATTGAAAATAAAAACTTGTTAATTATACCAAAGGATCCATAAATAGTCTCAGCAGTTGACTCTAAGGTAGAGATTTTATTTGATCATAGTTCAGCTGCACTCTCAACTCCTGAATCTTGATAAATTAGAACAGAGATGCTGTTTGCCACCGGGGGACTGCTGCTGGAGGGGGGCCTGCTGGCAGTCTGTCTGTTAAATGATGCATCAACACCAAGTGCTGCTGACTGCAACCAACCTTGGCAGAGTGGTGTCAAGCACACTCATAACTGAGCATGATTACGCATGCATATAAAAATGTGGGCATGCATGCACACAGTGAGAAGAAACCCGAGGCATTCAAAACAGGAATAGTCAAAGATCACAGACAAACAAAGACTCATAAACTCACACCAAGCAAAACTAACCTTGACAGACCGGTGGTGCTCCATCCATCTGTAACCTCTCTCCAAGTCGGCAGGTCAGAATCTCACTACCCACCAAGGTGAAGCCTGGCTGGCACGAGTACCTAATAATGTCTCCTGTGAAGACATTTACACAAGCAATCATACAGGCACACAGAGGCAAGAGGTGAACATGAAAATAAATACCCATCCAGGGATCCGCCCACGCAGTCACAATCACACACAGCTGTCAAACTATGTTGGTTCGATGCCCTGGTGCCAACCCCTTAAAACAATCATCATTACACATTTTCTAACAAAGATTGACATTTGTTGGTACTGAGGGCACTTTATTAAATTGCATAGCCTTAAACTTGTACACAAACACACACCAAAGCAAAATTCCACCCAAATTCAAAAACACTAAGCACAGCAACTACTAGCCACGTTACTTCCACTTCACTTTGCTAATTATTTTTGAGCACTGCTAGTACAAACTGCTTGTGGGTACAACTAATTAGCTCCACCTTCAGACTAATATTCTAATGCATGAAACATGAACAGCTGCAAATACTCTAAAGGATGGGCAGGAATAAAGAAATGGACACTAAAGGACAAATGAGATGGTAATGACTTTAACAAACATCAGCAACCTTAGTGAATACTTTATTTAATAAAACAAATATATACACCAGACAAAGCTGTTTTAATGAAAGGCCGAATGAACTATTATTCATTTAAAACGATAATTTAAAAAATAACAAAAAAGATTTAAGTGTACAAATAAAACATTTCAACAAGCAATGGAGTGAACAAATGAATTCATGATTTCTGGTTGCTTTGCAGTCCATGCAAATAAAATAAGATCCAGTAAACAATTATTGCATTATGCATTGTGAATTGTCCAAAGCATGTAAACAAGCAATATGATATGAGACGAACCTATTTCGAACTGGTCATCATCAGTTAGGGTGGTAGCATTGGCAACAGGTGGGGGTGGCTGACAAGTTCTCAGCTGGTAGGCTGTTGGAGAGAAGACAAGCACTGTGTGTATCAGTATGAATATATCAGAAAACGAAAAATGAGGGAAGGCAAACATGCATGAGCTGAAAACACACATACAAATACAGACATTAACTATTCATTTGTGGCAGTCTTTTCTCTTCTATCTCAATGAAATTTTATTAGATCATAGCTTGCCACCTATCATAGTTCATGATCATCAAAAAACAATAACTAATTTTCAAGAGATAGGGAATGCTTTTTTATTAAACGGCTCTCCTTAGAAGGGCATTTTAATGGTACAGACAAAATAATTTTAAAAAATTGTAATAAGGCAGCATTCATCATTTATCCTTACATATAACTGACAGCAAAATCATGAGCAGCATAACGGGGCCAAATGTGAAAGAGAAATGACATGCATTTAAAATGGGTAGGCAATATTTTTCTATGATGTTCAGTGCTCCACCAGGACTTCTGAAGGCTTAAAGATCACATAAATATTGGTCATTACAGAGTGGAGTGAAGTCATTACTCCGATCACATAAAGGGGAGGTTACCATAGTAATGAAGTTCAAAGAAGCCACTTGTGCTGAAGTCACTGTGGAATTTGATAAGGACCTGGTTAGCAGTGGTGGACACATCTTCCTGTATGGAACTGCCACTAAATTGGCCAATTTGAGGTGAGGATTGATCAGGTCCATCCCTGTTAAATTTATAAAGAGAGGTGGAGAGACATGGGTGTAGTACGAGGGAAGGGAGGGGGGAAGATGGACAGAGAGGGGGCGTGAAGGATTTATGAATTGAAAGCAATGACAACATTCTGAGTTAAAAGAGCAGGTCTATTTTTCCCCTATCAGTCACGTAGACTCAACAGTGGTTCCCACATTGATTACCACATCACATATTAATGAACATTCTGTTTTTCTTTTCTGTAGGAGTGTAAGTAGGAAGCTGCGCCTCCACGCTCTCTACCATTAAACTGAAATTTTATCCGCAAAATATTATAGACTGCAAAGTCAAAAATGGACAATATGTGTCAATGCTGATATGTTTCAAAAGCCACAAGCAAGCCTAAAAAACTCCTTCATGCTGTCAGTCATGCTATGATTTACAAAATAAAGGCCAGGACAGTAAGAGCCACTGAAATAATGAAGAGAATTTCATTAGCAGGGACTGAGGATGTACCCTTTGATGGTGCAAGACTGAATCCACCTCTGACTTACAGGACTGAGGCGCCCAGTGAACGTTTATTAAGCGTATATAGGCCATACTCCCAAATGAGGTTATAGTGAAGTGTGAAAGTAATGGTAAGTGCCGAAATGCCAAGCTGAAAATGGAGCTAAGCCTGAGGGTGAAATTCTTGATTCATGGAAACAAAAAGTTGAAATAAGCCTCAGGCTGGGGTCACAGAAGCCAGATATTTGGAATAAGCTTGGAGTAGTCCTGCTGCTCCAACATGACTGCTGAAAAGAGATGGCTGAGGCAACACAGACATGTAATTAGGCAGCCTCTAGGGTGGCTCCCCACCGAGGTGCATCAAGCTCGTCGGACTGGGAAGCGACCCAAGGTAAACTCAGAACATAATTACATATCCTGCCTGGCCTTGGTGGACCTCCAGTTGCTCATGATGGAGCAAGAAAGAATTGGATGACAGATTTTTAGGTTGGGAAATATAATAGCATGTGGCACATATAAATGACTGAAGTTTGTTATTTGATTCACAAGATGAGCCCAGAAAACACCTGCTTGGTTATGACGCCGTTTGTTAAAAGTTTCCAAATCTGAACTTTCAAAATATATCTAACTTTACCATAATTTAACAATAACCTAAGCCAATTCAACAGAGATGAATAACCGCTTAGGTGGATAGTTTTAAGTTCTGAGGGGATTTGTCTTTAGCAGTAACGTTATTTGTAAGCTGCTGCTGAAGGGGTTTATTTATCAAGAAAAGGAGAAAGAAGAAGTCATATACATTGCATACTAGCACTGCAGCAGAGTTCCAGACCTGTTCAGCAGCATGGTGTGTACACCGAATGCTGCTTTTGTAAAAGGCCAATGTTTCCTTTAAATTAAAGAGAAATATGAAAAAAATCTTATCAAAATTTTCTGTCAGTTTCATTTGGGGGTGATCAGCAAAACTGGAAGTGGCATCTCAGCAAGGAAATGAAATGCTGCCGTCAGGGGAAATATTTTTCTTGTGCTTTTTCATTAAAAAACAGCCCTTCCTTCCATGAATGGCAACCCCAGATGCTGGAGGGCATTTCCCTCCTTTATCACCCATGAGGACAGCTCCATGACTGCCTGAGGGTTACTATTCATCAGAGGGAACAGAGAGGTAGAGGGAAAAGAGGAGATGGAGTGCGTGGCAGCTGTTGGAGTGACAGAAAGCAAGTTGTGATGCTTACAGTGCTACAATTGTCCATTATCAATTAAAGTTTATACATACAATCCCAAGGGAACCAGTCGTTGCGCTATACACATTCCTATAATTTCCAGTAACATTGACTGGAATAGATCAAGTACAGCATCTATCATATCATCTATCACTCAATTCTACTTTGATTTTCTCTGACTGAGTGCAATACAGTACATAATTTTGGCCCAGTGCGTAGTAACATAAGGACCAATTGAATATCACAGAAGGTAAGCAAATTGTTCACTGCAAACACTGTCAAACTTACTTTTCTGCATGGAAAAAATGAAAAAGGGGCATTTACAGCTTCATAAAAAATCAGACAGAATACAAGACATCATGTACTGATGTTACCCAAGAGGTACAATTGTATGATTTGTCTTAAAAAAACACTTAATTTTTGCACAAACAGGTTAGTACAATTGTATATTTGTGACAATTATGGCACTTTATTCAAGGGAAATGGTTTGGAAAATACTGGTACAGGAATCAGTTTTGAGTAGCTTCTAAAGCTCATAAAGATTGCAGGTGAATGAAAGACAAAACCTCCCAACCACAGAAGAGTAACATACACAGAACAGCATGTTTGATGTGGGCCATAAGTGGATGATTGATAACTAACTTACCAAACAGTGATATAGTCGTAGATAGGTTCTGTATTGATCACAGAAAAATTGATATAGATGCCATATCCCGGAGGTACTCTGACAGTCCACATGCAGTCCTGGAAATGCGGGTACTCAGCAGGGTGTTCAGGAGAGTAAATTGTTCCATTCATAGATGTTATATTCCCACCACAGAGAGCTGGGGGTAGAAGAGATAATCAGAGATGATGGATAGAAACAGTAAGCCATGCTTTCCAGTCATAAAATTGCAGTTATCGCTGTATTGCCACTAACTGTTGATAAAACAAACCATAACAGCATGCTACTGGTTTATCACCTAGAAACTGGTGGGTGGATACACCTGTCTCCACAGGAGGGGATGATCACTGGCTCCTGAGGACTCAATGAGACTGGCTGATTTTTACATGAAAGCTCTCGCTGTCATATCCCTTCAGCTGTGTTTACTTGGGACTTTGATGTGAGGGTAAAAACTAAAGCACTACCCTATGGATCAGACTGGTGCTGTGAACTTACTAGGAACATTAAAGTCCGTAAGAAGAATAAAAATATTTTATGCATCCTAATATACAATGCATTTCATATCTGGACTTGAAAGGTTTGGTGCAGCTTCACTTAACTGATGAAAAATGGTTTATCCCACCTGAGTGACATCTGAAGGAACTTTATAATAGTGTATATCATCTTATATCATCAGAACAACGGTCAAGGCTAAAAAAAGAACATTCTTGAGAAAACTAACTACAAAAGATGTTTTCATTCAGGTTAATAGCTATAGAAAAACATGGCCGCCTTTATTTCACTCATCCTTTAAACAGGTAGAGTGCATGACTCCAGATTTGTGAAACATTTTTCATTTAAGGCTATTGCAAAACAGAGAAACATGTTATGTTATAAGCATGAACTGAAATGATTTAGTGTGAAAAAAACAGAAGGGCTGGTAAAGAATTGTTTTGTGAAATCTACTTCTTCCACATTATCTGAGCAAATGAGAGACAGTGCCAAGAAAACACTCTCGCAGTTACCTTTACAGCGAGGTATGGGGTGATTCCAATTTCTGCTGATTCCATGCAAACACGTGAGAGAAGGCTCCCCAAGAAGAGTATAACCTGGTAGGCACTCAAAGGTAATGGTCATCCCCACGCTGTAGTCTTGACCAATCACAATACCATTTCGAAATGGTCGGGGGTCTGGACATCTCTGTAACTCGTAGGCTTAAATGGGGGAGGAAAAAAAAAGAGAAAATGACACAAAGACATGAAGGTTTTTATTCCTGAAAAAAAAAGATCAAACCAGGAGTAGTGTGCCAAAAATATTCTCTCGACCCATAATCCAACACTTGTAAATTACAATAACCCAAAATAACCACGGCAAAATCATCAGTCCATGTTATTATTTTTGAATATTGATTAACCGCTCTTATTTTCAAGCTTTCAGCAATGCAGTATTTGTTCCAACATTTCGATCCTCTGGTTTAGGCTGACACCAATTTGAAAACCAAAGCTGCTCACCCAAGATCTTTTTTAGAAAGAAAAGGGTTTCTCTCAACATCCCCTGTGAAGAAACCATTCATCGGCCATCAATTAATTTTTTAGTGAAGATCTGTAGACTCTGGGGTAGTTCTTGGCTGATCTTGAAATTCTACATTCATTGGAGACATTTTCTATCCTTGATGTTTAATTATTAGGATGTTTTATTCCCGTGAAGACTGGTCTTGAATCTTGTCCAGCATTGCATGATATTCCTGACGATTTGGAATTTGTATTTCCTTAATTTTAAAGTTGAATCTTTTTATTCATTTATTTTTAAAATCACATCCGATTTACTTTTTCTTTCAATGATACCTACTGGCTGATCACATTGAAATAGTACATGATGGCATCCAAGATAAACCTCCTGGCACTTAAGCTGTTACAGTTTTAAAATACTGAAAAACGTTGCCTAGTACGCAAAGTAGAACCATGTTCACACTCTGCCTCGGTTCAGATTTGGCTTAAATCTTAAGACTCACATGGACCTACTCAGCAATATTATTATTCAAAGACATACACGCTGTGTAAAAATGATAGGACCAGTGGCCTCTTTTTATTATTCTTTAAGCTTTTATAATCAACATAAATGGCAGCATTTCAGATGTGTTTGCAGACTCTTCAGCCTTCTTGCACTTAAGCTGATTTGATTAAAAAGAAATGCAAGTCAACAGAAACTACCAATATTTGGGCCTCACCCTGGTACACAATGTGGAAGCCAGGCTTGTTCTGGGAATAGTCACTGTGAAAGAAGAGAGTGGTTTCGTGTGTTGTGCTAAAGAGAGAGCTGGGCACCACAGGGCCACTGAACCGGTCAATCACTGTGCCCGTCTCAAAGCTCCCACTGAGAACCTCCAAATAGTCATGGACAGGCTCTGTGGAGAAGTTTAGAAACTGTAGATGAATCCCTAAAGACAACAAAAAAAAAAAAAAAAGATTAATTTCAAAGGGAGTCAAGTGTATAGCATACTTCACAATAGTCCATCAGTAGGCCTGTGCAAATGTATTCACACAACTAGAGGGCCTTTTCAAGTGAACATATAAAGACAATTAAGACCATACTGATTAACAAACCGACAAAGAGAGATTTTAGGTTTAATAAGACATTGGAAGTAAAAGATGGAGTGAGGTATACTAAAAGGAATTTATATGGACATGTTCTTAATCACAATATTACTTTCTGACATTTTAACTGTAAAAGGCCACACACTCTACTGCTGCTTGACAACACATAACTAACAAACAGCAGTCAGATCCTCTTATGATCAATGTCTTTTTCTAAGAATTCAGATTTTTGTTTTGAGTTTCAAAGTAGACAGAAAGAAGGCTTTAGGTGGACACAAATATTGCAACAGTACTGGGGAACAACACATGGAGGTGACTTTTGTTAACAGGAATATTAATAAAATACCCTATGAGCAACTTATGCAATCACTTCAAATTGAATATTACTTTCTTTAGGATAAGGTGGACATTAAGAATACAGATAAGCATATTCACAAAGAGTAACTGAAAATGTCAATGTCCAGTAGATATTAAACTTGGCTTCTGCACCTTCACAGTGTTTGTCATGATAACCTGTAAGTGTAAAGAGGAGAAGCACTATTTTCGACAAACACCAAAAGGCAAAAAAGCTTTTGAACGTTGAGGTCAAATTAGACAATGAGGGGATGGAACAGAGATGTTAGTACTTGCTTGGCCTTCAAAACAAAAGTGATGCAGTTCATGAGGCATAAAAGATGCAATACTGAATAAACTAAAAGTACTGACATACTGTCTCTGGATGTGACTGCACCGAAGAAATCTTGTTGTGATTTTAACAGAGCAAGAAGAAATCAGAGTAGAGAGTAATCAAAAAATAGGAAAGAGAATCAACACAAAAGCTATGAGCGACCGTGCAAGAAAAACAAAGAGAAAAGAAGGGAAACAGAAGGGGGTGAGTGGGAGGGGTACAGACCAAAGCCAATGGGGAGTTGAACTCTCCAGCTGCAGTCCAGGCTGCTCTGGTAATTCCCTGGAAAGCCTGGGCTGAGGATGACGCCGCTGAAGTCTGTCATAGAGCCTCCACACTGAGCTGAGGGAGACCAACCAAGGAGAAAGAACATGTCACTCCTCCATTTCAATGGGAAAACAAAGAAAAACAATGACTGGGAGGTTGAATATGGAGGGAGAGTGAAGAACAACTCGCCACACATTCAAGGCTTGCGCCTCATCCAGTACTAATGCTCAGATTGCCTTTGTTTTGTCTATTTTAACATGTCTGTTTTTTTTTTTCATAAATTGGGCAACGCTCCAATATCACGCTAACATGTCAAATCTGGACAAAGATCAGTTTTGTTATCCTTTGAATAGTAACAAATAAAGGAGTCTGTATTTAATCCATCAACACTTTTTTCAGTAGTGAAAATGATTACCTAACCCTCTATCCTATCTATTGTTCAACTGTGCATTGGAGAACACTTCAGCTTGCTGTGAGGGTTCCACTCACCTCCCTCTAACATGGCACATACAGTACCAATTCTCACATTCACATCCCAGTGGACTGAATTCAGTATGAGGACGTTTTTGGGGTAAATGGGTCGGGACATTTAGGCTATGGCTGCCATTTCTCAGGCCAAGTATAAACCGAAGCCAAAAGTAGACTAAAAAAGAAAACTGAAAGCAAGGAAAGTTTTCATTCTTTTCTGTCTAAGCTGCTGCAGGGGTCTTCCTTAATCTGCTTGTTTTGTGGAATGAAAGAGCAGAGGAGAGGCTCTTTAGTGGATCCCATAAGTGTTTGTGCAGGGGCATGCGATCACTGGTGTGGGATTAACAAAATAAATAACTATCATGGAATGTTTGGATAACCGTCTGTACTTTTTGCTAACAAGCAACTGAGCTGGTGAACAAACACGCGCATCCAGAACATGTCTTTCAGCTGCAACGCTGAGATTTAAATCTATGGATGTCTAGAAAAAAAACACTGGTGCACAACACGTAAATAGAGAAAGCAGTGCAGTGTGCAGTTTGTTTCAAGGTTGCAGTCATTGTCAGAATATTTGCACCACTGCATGCTTTTATTAGTGTTTGTGTACATTTGTAATCGAGTCAACAAAAAAGGCGTAAAATAATTATGAATAGTTACTCCTAAGAAATCGCTGTAATCTGTCATTCAGACATTCACCATAAGATGAAATGTCTACAGCGCCTACCCAGAGAGTCTAGGAAACTAGCTGACAAGGGGGATCAGGAATAAAACAAAATATTGAGGTAGTAAAAAGTTCTATTGATTTTTAAATGAAGGAAAAGCAGAAAAGTCATACCCCCAACACACCCACCCACCCAAGTCATCAAAACGCAACCAACATCTGTGCCCTCCAGTTCACAATGAAACTGCTAGAGCAGCTGAAACAGGTATTTTAGGCGACTGAAGTATCATGAGACTGTGCATTTGTAAAACAAGTGAAGAAATCTATAAACCAAGGTGAAGAAAAGTTAACCAAGTCAATGACACAAGCAGAATTACAAAAATGTCAAAGAAAGACTGAAACGGTGTTGAATAATACATATACATATAACAGTTTTTTTTTGTTTTCGTTTACATCATACACTCAATACGTTCTGAACAATAGACTTTAGAATAAGGTACATTACCTAAGCAAAGAGGTACAGGGTAATTCCATCTCCTCACGGGCCCAGGCATGCAGGTAATATATGCATTTCCCTGTGGAGAGATGAATATATTTGGCTCCCATAAAAACACTGTATGGGAATTATTTTTAAAAAATCATATTGAGAAGAGCTGATTGTTATATTTTCAGTATATACCTTTGGAATTGGTACATATGTTTTACTTAGCAATGTCTTCAAATTGGAATGGATGTTGTTAGGTTGGAGTGATAAAATCAAAGGACAATGATGTAAATTAAAATTTTAGGTCGAGTGATGCTGAACAAACAACTAGTTCTAACAGCACGGATATCTGTGCACTGTTCCTAGACACACAATAACAAAAAAGACTCATTTTGATTCTAATTTGACAATTTTTAAGTCTATTATTAGTTCAGACATTCAACTGGAGGGTATTTGTATGAAGTTGCTGATTGCCCATGCCATAAAGAAAAGTAAGCGTAGGATTAGCGAGATGGCTGTGGACACAATTCGTGAGCTGCAGCCTTGGAGGGTTGTGCTGCCCGAAATTCTCCTGCCACAGTTACTACTCAAGGAAAATTGAAAGAAGTTAAAGCTGCTCAGTTACAGACACACAGTCAAAAGGTTACTCAAACATCCAAAAAAGGGAAACATGAAAGCAAAGTAGACGCAGACCATGAAAAGACAATAAATAAAATTAAAAAATAGACAGTCACACTACATACCATTATGTCCACATCTCTCTTTCTCTCCGTCTCTCTCTCAGATGCTTACATACAAATATCACCATTAATTTTGCCTGACTGACTTAACCCTTGAAGTAAGCCTTGAAATTTACATCCATACCAGCAGTTTTCTGTTAGTCTAAAGGACAATTGAAAATCTCTGCCAGATACTTTCACCTACCTGTAATGAAAAGCCCTGATCACACTGGAAGGAAACCATGTCACCCACAGTATAGCGATCCCCCACTTTTTGGCCGTTACTGGGAGGCATCGGCTCTGGGCACGAATCCAAACCTATTGCTTAGGACAGAGTCACAACACACAAGTGTGGACGGCAATCATTCTTCTGCATAAGATGGCAACATTTAAACCTGAAGCTGCACTTCTCTTATTGTATATGTGATAATTAATTGCATTGAGCTCTGCGTTCAATGTTCTTAGTTTTTTTAAGAATCAAGAAGCATTATTAACACAGTTTTAAAGGAAAACAGTTTTTGTGTACTTGCATTTACTGCCATCATCTACAGAGCCAGTTATACTTAATAAAAAAACAACAACTCATCTATAAATAAATTCTCTTTATGCTTTTTGGACAACATTCCAATAAGACAGACTGCTGGAAGAGGTGGAACTCATATATGCATGTATAAAACACAAAAATCTCTAGCAAAGTTCAGTGATGTTCATACAAAGGCCACAATATAAAAAACACACTGATTCATTTAAAGTGAGCATACAGAGAGGCAAGTCATAACAGGGTTCTGTCCATTCCAAACTAGGAAGCTACTCAGAGGGTATTTGAGTGGAAGATGATTGCAACCAAACAGATGTAAAGCACTATGCAAACAGCTTAAGTTTCAACCAAATAATGTGGGTGGATTGTTTGAAAAGAAGGGAATTTTTTTTACATGTGGGTTTGAATAAGAATATTACTTTGAAATTTTAATTGATTTCTTGGAGGTTTGGTTACGCGAGTCATGAAAGCAGTGCAGCTGCTGCCATATAGGACTACCAGGATTTAAGTCTGACATCAAAGCACAATTATGCCATAAATTAAACCGTTTCATTTAATTATCGCGTTACCAACTTTGTAACATACTGCACTGTGAGACTAGAAAATTGATAAAGCAGTGCATTGTTTTTTTTATGTGTCACATAAAGCAATATCTGATGCTGGATGCAGTGAGCATTGTTTGCATTATCTATAGGAACAAAACAAAAATATGTAAATCATGAAAGCTTTCTATATTTCCAATCCATTACAGTAAAAAAAAGAAAAGAACAAAGACATTTTGACTCAAGTGTATATCGATCCCAGATTTTAAAATGAAAGGGGGAAGGTACCAAAACCTGATAATCTGTGTTTAGTGGAAGGAGGGACACAGAGAACCACAATCCGAGGATCCAGGATGAAACACAAAATATCCAGGGGTATATCAGGAAGATGGCCCCTGGTGACAGACTGCTAAGTGAATGTCTCAGTCTGATTAAACCCTGTGGAGATGAAGAGGAACTATAATGGAAAGTCCAGCCTTGGCGCGGTATGTACTAGAGGTTAAAGCGGTGACTGAACTAAGAAGTCCTATCAGTGATGGAAAGGGCTTGTCTGAAAGACAGTACAGAGACCATGCCTAGGCACAAAAAAACAAAACATTTACACTGTCGCCAAACATCCCTCAATGCATCTTGTGCATCTTCTTCTTCTTCATGTGTGGAAAATGATCTTCAGGTGCATTAGGGGATTACATGACCCCCCCCCCACACACACACACACACACACACTCACTGACATTGTGGATTAGAGATTATCGATTTGGCAAACCAGAGCATGTCAGGGTGTGGCCATGTGTTTCTGGAAGGAAGAAATGCAGCCCTAGGCCTCTGCAGCGAACATTTTTAACAATGAAATTAAGATTCAGCTCGTCACTGACAAAAATATTCAGATGATACAGCTGTTGTGGCTTGTTTGTGCAGTGGACAGAAGTGGGTGTACAGGCACTTTGTGGAATTCTTTAAAGGCTGGATCAAAAAGAACTGTTTCCTCCTGAAAACCACCAAGACCAAAAAAAGGTGGTGGACTTTAGGGGATCTAAAATGCCACACCAGTCTTTCTGCTTTGATGGGGTGGAGATCCAAACACATTATGAACATATACATACACATGTATAGAGAGAGAGAAAAGGAGGAAAATAAACCAAGAAACCAAAAAAGAAAAATAACCGTTTAGAATTTAAAAAATTGCAGAGGCAGGTACAAAATGCGAAAGTAATGAAGACTACCTGGGAGATGAGGCAAAACAGATTACAAATGGGATAGTATTCTTTCAGGATAAGATGTATACGAATATGAGGGTTATTTGCATCAAGCATAATCGTGTGTTTATGCACCAACCACAGCACTGGCAACTGTGAGCTTAACATAATTAAGAGATACTTTGATGGCGTGGTGGAAAATGCAAATGCAAAGGGGGAGCCAGATGGATTAGCAGACAAGTCTCTATCTCAGTCATGTAATCTCTAACTCCCCCTTTTTCTGCAAGAGTAATTCTAAATTGCAATATCTGTTTGTTACATGATGATAGTTTTTTTATGTTGATCATGATGTTTATCCCTGACCATCAAACACTTTTGCAGATATGGCAGCTCTAATGCATTTAATCCAATTACTCCTAATCACTTTCACAATGAGATTATCTGCACTTGCACCAAAAAACTAAAAGTATTACAATCAGTCAGTTTTAAATCATCGTCACATGAACAGACATTTTTACAGGAGCAATTGTGAAAAGCTGGTACAAACTTTAATTTTCCTAAAATTAAGCATAAGTGCTTTGATAGTGTGGTAAAATGATCTTTTTATTATGACTAGGTCAAAGACAAAAAAGTAATTTATTGATTGACACAGAACCCGCTGGAAAGGAAGGCAGAAAATAAGTACATCTCCTTAGATGAATGATAAGATTTGGACTTTATTCTATGTATTACCTCATTTAATGGTGATGATGATGTCAATAGACTGCATGCAGAAAATCAGTGTGAGATTTAACAGTCACTTCAGGTGAGCTTCTTTATCTGATCACCAGTAAACAGGGCAGAGCAGCAACAGCAAATCAGACAATGCAGCTGATCCATACTTGTTGGATTTACTGAAGAGTGAAGAATATACTGCACACTTTTTTTCCCATAAATAGCTATGAGCAGTGTAATTTGAGAAAGGAACCAGTGCTGCCTATGTGCTTAACAGACTTCAAATGACATGTGTGTGGGTTTTTCACTCCAGTTTACATAAACTAGAAATGAGCAGCGAATCCAAAAACGTGAAAAGATTTGGTCTAAGTAGGCAGCAGCTTTATCAGCTTTCTGATGTGGACAGCACAGAATTAACTTTCGTCCTTGACATGCATAAACATATTTTCACCATTCCTACTGCAAGGGGAACCTGATTTTTACAAGTCGGGATGATGCAAATAATGAGATTTCTACAAAGATCAAATTAAATCGAACATGCTTTCCAACATAAATAATGGAAAGAGAACACGTCACGTACAAGTTCAGAGTTTTTGTTAAAGTAAAACAGAGTGATATTGTTTGTCATACAAATGATTTTCTGTGACTATTTAATTTCACTATATTAACATGTTAACTATTAACATTAAAAGTAGTGGTATTGTAGTTATCTACAATAAGGTTAGAATCAGCACTGCAATGCTTTTACCACAGTGTTTTGCAAGGACAAAAATCTGTGCCCCACTGCGTTTAAAGGGGTTTCAGTACTTTGATTGTTTTTTCTATTTTGGTCCCAGTCATCTCATCATCAGCTCAATACCTAATGAGATAGTACATACCAATTATGACAAGTTAATCAACAACAGCAACACGGAAAGTCAAGGTGTTTTGAGGGGCTGGTTGCAAAAAGTAATGGCAAAATCTAAGACAGAGTTCACTGAGATACATGAAACTGAAGTGATTCTCAGCAGTCCGTATTGGTGGTAGGAGAAAAGATACAAATGTCAACACACTTGTTGCAAGCAAAAGAAAAAGAACATACTACGAGAGACATGACTTTGAAGCCATTTTCAACAATAGTATGACAGCTAAGGCAGTTTTTCACCTAATCTTTTTGTCATAATTGTAATGGTCTTTGCTGGATCGGACAAGAAAAACAAGAAAATCATGGTAAAAAGGAATAAATGCCAACTTAAAATACAACTAAAAGGTAGAACCGCTGGAAGAAGAGAAAAAAACTGAAATGAAAGTAACAGACTAATCAAAAATATTCTATTACCACTATTAGAATATGTTACTCCAAGTCATTAACACTCTTTAAATGTCAGTGCACCATAAATATAAAGCATGCTAAAAGGTAAGCAAACCCTTAAGGTAATAACCAGCTGAGATATGAGGAGGTCCAGTCATAGATTTAAATTAAAATATCCACCAACTGGAAGCTACACAAGAATTTAATGATTAAAAGTGCATAAGAAAAACAGGGTAAAGTTAGAGAAGCAGGAACAATCACTGGAAGTTAGGAAATTGAAAGACGATGAATATATAGTTTTCCACTCACACTCAACATATTTGCACGTTTAACGGTGCTACCCAGACCAGCTGTCGCTCTTATTTCTTTTACCGCTGTGCAACAGCTGGACGCTACTGGCAGATGGACACGGACAAATTGACAACAGACACAGAGACAGAACGGCAGCTAAGCCATCTCTCCTCATACCTGTGTATTCCAAGTGAAAACCAGCAGCAGAAACACTGATGTCAGACTGGAAGGTCAAGTACAGGTTGTTGGACGTGCTGTTCAGCAGTTGGGGAATAGTTGTACCTGTTGTACACAACACAGAAAGTATGGTTTAGCCCCTTTCGAATCTCTCCACAGTAAATCTAGATTTACAAAGTGAGAAATTACTCACATTTCAAATAAGTTTCATTGAGAGGTTTAATTAATGGTTTTGAAGTCCAATTATCATTTTTAGATATAACTGTAATATATTCTATTAATGTAAGCTATTAGGTGACTTCCAGCAAAACTAAGCACATAATACACCAACCATTGCAGAAACAATATTTTTTCTAATCCAAATATATTTCTTCAACTCTTTGCACTGATCATTCTCATTTCAGGCCAATTGAGAGGGAAACAGATTGAGAGCTATTTTAAATACTTTTACCATTTAATGTTCCCCATAGCTGCGCAATATCTCACTGTTTAAAGTTTTTTGTTCTAAATGAGATATCCACCACTCGAGATACATGTCACAAAAATTGGGTAGCAGCTAAAGCCATTTTGGCACACCAGTTCAATGTACACCAAGACTGTGGAAGTTATCTAAAATGATTTTATATCCTTTTTTTGTTAGTTCCCTCATGGGAACTGCAAAACCTTAATGAAATGAGTCATGCAGCAGTGATACAATGGTGAAATTCCTACTGAAAAAAGCCTTACACTGTGAAAATATCTATGGCAAAGGCAGCAACACTGTGAGAGCAAGGACAATTCTTCCCCTCTGGCTTCATAAACAGGTTTTTTAAAAGCCTTCTCAAAGGACACACCAAATGTCATCAGTCCTATTGGACAACTGTCCGCTGCTCAGGTCTTGCAATGTTTAAAATTCAAGTAGGAACTGAACTAAAATCCAGTTCAATAAGCTTTACCTGAGTAGCTACCAAGCCTTGGAGCATTGCCATCAACTCCGTCAAAAAAGTCCAGTGAATCCCAGTTGTGTTCTGTGGCAAACGTTACAACCTGAATCTATAAAACAAAAAACAACACACCATATCAAACAGTGAACAGTGAATCCATCACTAAATAAATGTGTTTACACTACCAAACACAATGTTGCAAATGTTTCTTCTCACTTGTATGCCGGCTCCCTCGGTAACAGAAATTCTCCAGGCACAGTTTAGGTAGTTGGCATATGGTTCAGGGTATCCAGGGGAGAGGATAGTCCCTTTCCGGTCAGTTAATAATCCACCACATGGAACTAGCAAATCATGACATATCCATGAAGAAAGAGAAGATTAGAAGAGTGAGTCTTGGGAAACATTTGCCCTTAATGAAGTCAGCGACACTTAGGAGTGGGCAGGCATCACAGCGGGATAACAGCAGGCTGTCAGCCTTCAAAAGGGTCTCCGCTTCCTTAAATGTCCACTAATAAAATAATTTCAAATGCTTAAATATGAAACCACTTTCTGCAATTCAAATGATTCCACAAAAAGATGGAGTGTTATAAATTGATATGATAATGACACATTTTATTCACATTGAGTAAATCAAAAGTATATCATTATAATTTAACAGAATTGTATCACTGGGGGCTCTCACATCTCTTGCTTTGCACTGAATTAATCAGTTAACCCCAGGAGACTAATGTCAACTTTCAGAGGCCAAACAGATCCCTTCTCAACTATAAAAGCTTTTGTTTGTTCCCTCCTTTCTCACGCCTGTATCACTAGTGATGCATATAGGGAGCCTTTAAAAAAAAAATAGGAGCCAGTCACCAGTGCGAACATTGTTGGGCACTGCGTCCCTTTTTTGTATGAGTAAAGAACTAAATAAAATTAATATAGATATGACCCACATATGCACAAGTATACTCAATTAAAAAGGAATGTATAACACCTAAACACATAAGCTTACACCCTCAAGAGCTTAACTTTTGGAATGTGAAGAAAAAGTTAGACATTCCAGTGAGTATAATTAAAAGAAAAACAATTAATTTACTGTATGCTGCAACCTTACATGCACACACTGAGATAAATGTAAGCAAAATAATGTAAACTTTATTGAAAACGGTGCTAATTTCTGAGACTTGAGGTTAATAACACACAGACCTCATGAACTACACCCCCACCATTGACAGATACTTTAATTGGTCTGGAGAGGCTCTTTGCAAACAGGAATCCAAAGTTAAAAAACAAGCACTGTGAGACACTGTTTACTTGTTGACACCTTCGAACGAGTGTTTAAGCCAACTGTGAACACAGTGTGGGTATGCTGAGTATGAATCATAGCAATCTGTGAGCTTACATAACACTGTGCAACAATATTTCATACCTTCAACAAGTAGACACAATGTGCTATATGTGCAACATGGTACTGCATCTCTTTCAGTTGATCAGGGACAAGTTAACCACTTCCAACAGACATTCACTTCGGTAATTCTTATCAAATTACGAGAAAATCTTATTTAAACTAACTTGCACAACTAATTTAGCGACTTTTTTTTTTTTTCATGAGACTGAATGCCCAACAAGCGTTGCATTGCAAACCAGGTCAATCACAGCATAAGGAATAAATAGCTATCAGTCTTTCAAGTCTTTCGTATCATATCCCACAAAGTTTTGGAGTAATTGAGCATGGAGTTTTTTTTTTGTTTGTTTTTTTCTCTCTCTCAAGGTTCCATTAAACATTATGTGGTATTCAGGATGAGTAAACTGTTGTCGAGGGAGATGCCAGAGCCAGATTCAATCTCCAGATTTACCGTGTTCAAAATGGAGCTGAGCATGCCACTGCTATTCCCTTACCACTTGGCAGAGAACTTAAATGAACCCTGAGCTGAAATCTTCTGCACTCACCATCTTAAACCATTTACCGATTGGCACGGGGCCTTATTCAAAAGTTCTGCATCCTAGTAAAGTGAGTGTCTAGCTGAGACTGAGCATGACCTTTTAAATTCATGTTATCAAGTATACGCACAAAGCTAAAAATCTGTTCTTACCTAAAAATGATTTATGCATCTACATGCCATGTTTTTTTGTGTTGTTGTCACACTGAGCTCAGGATGCTTCAGCCAGGAATTTGCACCGTTTCCCTCCTTGATTTGTAATGCATGAAAGCCTGTGTAGGCCAGCTATTAGCCAAAGGTTTGTCGGTTGGACTGGTAGGTGCAGCAGTGCTGGTCAGGTGTTGTTGTGTGCTGGATTTTGGCTGTATTACAGGTAATTATAGTGTTCACAGTGCTTTCATATCATTAGTAAGAGATCATTATCTTATGCTTTCAATTGCGTTTCCACCAGTCAGTCTTAGTTGTCCAAACTGCACTTTGTATTTTGGGTTTTAGTTAGTAATTTGTGGGTTATTTTGTTACTAAATGTTTGGTTTGATTTTTTATACTAACTTTGGTTTGTTTTATGTCACCCACCAACATCTAAAACCTTTGTTTGAACCATTTTTATTTTGGACAGGTGCTTTGATTCTTTTTTGGATATCATATTGCACGGTTTTAAACTATATGTACAATCAATTTGTTCTTATCCTAAGTTCCTCATCTGTTCCTTTAGTTGCCAGGTGTACTTTTAAGTCTAACAGGGAACTCCATTTATTTAGTGTTTGCTCTGGGGTTTTTCTCCGTTTTATCTTGGACACCCTCTTTAGGACACTTGGTAACACTTATCTTTCAGATTAAGTTAAAAAGAACTTCAAATTTTCCGTTTTAAGTTGAAAAACAGCTTTAAATTTTAATCAGAACTTGCTTTTTTCATCCAGGATAATAATAAACAAACACATATTGCATTGTGTGACAGAATCCCCAACCAAAGGTATGCAGAACAACAGCACAAACATCAGTCAGGGACAGTACTTGCCTACAAGCTACAGCCAAACAAAGCAATGCTAAACACACATTAAAGATAGTCTTTATTCATATTTCAAATCTTTGCAAGTAAAACTTTGTCCCAATCAAAAGTCCATTATAGAGAATTTTAGTGACATCTAAGCACAAAATTGCCAATTGCGGTGAAATGAATACCCCTTTAATGTGCATGACATAGACCCTGGTGTTTGGCAGAGTTAATTTACTTTTCTACAAACATTTCTTTACTTTTTCAGCCACAGCAGGTGTATGACTGTGTAACATGGCAACCCACGCTGTGAGTTGATATGAACCTCTAGATTTATACAGCAATGAGGGCATCAGAATCAATTTCTTTAGATAGTATGTAACCTATGTATTATATGTATGCATAAAAACATGGTATAGATGTATTGAAGATTCGTTCTCTGCAGGTCTGTCCTTTTCGCATAGTAACAAGTGTGGAAAAAGATGCAAGTTGTACCTGTTAAAACCTACATTTCCTCAAGCATGCTCTCAGTGCAAATAATCAGTAGGTGTTTATGAATCATTCACTTCATATATAAGCATGGATCTCAGTGAGTAAAAAGTCCAGTAAGATTTCGGGTTGGCCATGTACCCTCCCCAAATTATCCATTCATTATTTGTTGCCTATTTGTTGCCTATGCTAAAAATAAAAAATTCCTCCATCTAATCTAGTACCAACCATGACTGGCCTGCTGCGTGTGTAGGAAATATATGTCCAACCCTCATTCTTTTGTCAGATCAGTCAAAAGAAAGGAAAGGAAAACAGACACATGCTGTGTTTGTGCACCTGCTCCACCTGTCTGGATCTGTGGATCTGTAGGAGTGCATGCAGAGGGTGCAGCAGGGGCATGGGAGATGAAGATGCTTACCGGCACATGTGGGCACAGTGCCGTTCCACTGGGCCAGGGCATTGGGCACAGCCTCACACCTGATGGCGTTGGAGCCGTGCAGCGTGTAGCCTGGATTGCATTCAAACAGAACCACCATGCCAGTGCCAAAGTCATTCCCTATCCGCTTCCCAAAACGGGGCTCAGGGACTGAGCTACACTGAGTGGCGCTTGTCCGGGGGACAGCTAGGGATAAAAAGGAGGTAGCAAGAGACAGAGAAAGAAAGATAAAGAGTGGTGGGTATGTTAGGCGGACAGACAACAGGGAGAGGGAGGCAAGACAAAAGGGGCTGAATGATACAGCAAAGCTCCTGTGGATCATCCTGCATGTCATTAGTCACTCTCATCTGTGGTACCAGGACAGGCTATTTGATTCTACATTATTCTGCTCCGCTAAGTCATGCACAGTCACATCTAGTGGCACTCAGCCTCAGAACTCTTTAGGAGATGAATGTAAGGCTGAAGCATCTCCATGGTGAATGCATTCACTTCATGAATATCCAAAAATGTTTATAAAAAGAAAAGAAACCTTACCTTGGTAAACAAAATGAAATCCCTTGGCTGTTTCTGTTCCATTTGTAGTGAACTTAATTGCTATCTTGTTTCCTGAACTCAAGGGGAGGGTCTCACCTAAATTACAAAAGGAGACAATCTAATTTCGAGTTGTCATGTTTACAAATGGACATTTTTGCTTTTAAAACTAACAGATGTTAGAGTAAAGAGGAGAAATTTTATCCCAAACTACAGACTGACATGACTGAAAACTTGCTAATGAAGTTTTCATACATTTCTCATGTAATGTGTGTGAGTCTGACCTGATTAACAGGATATTCAGGGTTTTGTTTGCTGGGGATTACACTCTTAATGAGTTTACATTGTTTGAATCTTTAACAAGTGGTGAGAAAAGACATAACAGCTGCAATCTAACTCTTATTGTAATTAGGATTTGGAAAATGTATTCAGTTGAAAAAAATGTATGAGTTAGCATCATAAATAAAAAAACAGACTTCTGGGTCAGAGGGTTGTGTTTTTACCCGAGTGTGATCCATAAATAGATGTGAGAAGAGCTGAATCTGCTGAGGTTCCATCATAAATCTCGACCAGATCAGTGGGGAGAGTCTGAAAAACTACAAACTGACCAAAAAGCACTGCAAAGAAAGCAAAAGGAGACAAGAAAAACATGAAAGTATATCACAGAGGTTAGCGGCAAGCTTATGCCAATCACACTATTTTAAATATCACCAATGTTTAACCTATTTCACTGAAAAGTAAAAAAACGTCATTTATTGGTGCAAAAACACACTACATTTATCAAACCTGAAATATAGAAACTGAATGTCAGTGAAATTTGAGGCAGCTTTATCATGAACATGCTTGAAAGCACAAGTAATTGCCGTGAAAATGGGAACCATTTGTGTTGATAGTACCTTATTATAGTTCACCATTTTCAAAGCAAAGTCCCACCTTTTCACTATTGTAAACCTTTCTGTGACACTTCAAACAATTAGTATTGATTCCTTAGAATTCTGCATCTTTTTTTGTGCCATGGCAATTGAGATATGTAGAGCACCCTTTTGTTTGAGTGAAAATATTTTCAAATACATTTCTAAAGATAAAAAATTGTAAAAGAAACAAAACTTAGATGCAGTGGGAAATGAGTGATGTCAGAGAGGAAGCACGTAAGCAGCATTCAAATGGACCAAATTGACATTTGCATTTATATGCTGATCACCTAACTTGGTATCCAACCCCCAAACTGATATTTGCCATGTGCCTCCTCTGTGGATGTTTAGGTAATCAAGGAACAAGCTAAACTGAATGGTTCAGCAAGAGGCAATGTTTGCTAGTCAGAAAATATTATCTTTTACACTGTTTTTAGGCTGAAAATGGAATCCCAAACATAATCCCATAAATAGTAGAGCAAATCAAAAAGAAAAAAATATATATATGGTTCAAATTCTGGATTAACTAGACCTTTAGCATTACATGCACTCTGAGTCACTCACAGTCCAGTCAGAATCATCAATTGAACTCACATTACAGTTTCATTTTTTAGATTACAAGGAAGCTAGGGAAAGAACCCAGACATGCAAACTTCAGACTGAAATGTCACAGCTGACATTCAATCCTGTGAGGCAACAGTGTCAACCACTACAATATTTAGTCCTGTTTTCATCAGAACTTTTACGTAGCACATTTAGTGATATGACACTACAAGCAGCATAGCAATGACAGTGTGACAGAACATCCACCATCACCATTTGTTTTTATAGGTTGTGTTTTCTCATACTATTTGTGTTTCATTCCATTACCAGCAAACAATGAGTCATTCACAAAAGGCCCTGCTTAGTGTTTGTCTACATAAAACCTAGGAGAGATTGGGGCACAGCCTGGCATTTCACCATCATAAAAATATTAAACAATAAAAATTCATGAAGTTCATGTAATTGAGCAAACTCATATGACCGTGTGAAAATAATTACCCTGAATAACTACTGACAGCATTGTTGTGTCCCGTGTTTCAAGAGATGGTCGTTTTGAAATTACCAGCCAGAAACCAAAAAGAAGTCAACACTGGGCTGGAACTTTCAATGATTTTATAATAAGTAGGCCATAATACTTCTTTTGTGTGACAAAAACAAAGTGAGAAAAAGCATGCCAAAGACAATTGGAGTCCAAAAACAGCTCAACAAAGAAAGAGAAAGCAGAAATATTCACTTGAACATTCACATGAACCATAACAAATGCAACAAAACAACAACAAAAAAAACCTGCATTGCAGACTTGATTCTTTATCTGTCAAGAAAACAAGAACGCCCATGGCGAAACCAGAGTCTGGATTTGACATTATTTTTACTGTTATGGACAGCTCACTGCTGTTATATTAATAATAGCATCATTGTGTCATGTTGAATAGGTTGCACATTGCTGCGATAGGAAGACATGCACACAAACTCAAAACATGACCACTTATATATACACTAAGGCGGTGTCACTCATTTCTACCTCTAATCTAAAACTAGCCATGCATGACTCCAATCTGCTCTTTGCTGTAATCACGGCCGGAAATTAAGTCAATAAATCATTGTAAAACATGTTGCCTAATTTATGCAGGACTATGATGAATCTGTTGTCCTTTGGGCCTAGTCATGGTAGTGTAATGTAATATTTGGATCTGAACAAAATTTCCATGTTTTCACCTCAAGTTATCCACAAGGAGTTTAGCTTCTTTAATCTCCGACGTATCCAGTTACATAGTTATTTTATATGCGATATCCTGTTTAACATGTACCGTCATTAGTAAGCAGTGATAATGCAAGACTAATAAGAGTGTGTTTGTGTCGTCAAAGGTTTCTGTCAGTTATATCAAAATGCTGGGGACAAATGCTACTACATGTGAAAATTATGTAAAAGAACCTTACAAACAGTACAAAGTATGGTTCTGCAATGTTTGGTTCCAAAAGATCTCCATCTAGAAATCAGCTTGGCCAATAAGTCTTTCATTATTTTATGATGTTATCCATACCACAGCTTAGTTCCCTCAATTTCATATGCATATCCATATGAAAACTTAACAGATAAACAAAAATCATCCCAATAAGCTATTCAATAAGATGGTCATTTTCGCTTATTGAGTTATGACGCTCCACTCTTATTCATTATCCCTTCCAAATATGGTCACTTCTGGCCAACATGAAAAAAGCCGAATGCTGAAGTGTTGCCCGTTCAAACTGACGTCATGAAAGGTTCATCGAGGTAATCTTATGCAGTCAATGGAATCAAGCCATAGGGTTGTCCAAGTGAAACAACATAAACAAGAACCTACCCCTGCAAGGTGTTTTATTAATTCCCAACCTTTAAAGAAGATGATGGGACAAAGAAGAGCAAACAGATAATAGTTAACGCATACAATGAACCATTCAAGGTGTCAACTTCAAAACAGCCTGAAGTTCAAGCACAGATTCAGCAGAGTGATCTGTCTAACAGTCCTTGAAGATTTCTTGCAGCAAGTTCAAGGTGGGAACAATCCATCCTACCACATCTCTAAGGTGCTCTACTGACTTGGGATCCAAAGAGCACAGGGAGGTGAAGTAAATTCAAATCAATGTCCTGCAGCTGAAAAAGTTTGGGAAGGATGAGTTATTCATGGTAAGGTTTGTTATCTTCCCCAAAGTATCCATTTTAAAAGTGGCAGACTGGCAAGGTAGCAACAAGGGTATACTAGTGGCACACTGATGGTATCAAAACAAACAATGCAATCGCAACCAGCTTGTCTCGTATTCCTATTGTGTAGTGCTAGTCTTAACTGTTACTAAAGAATACAGCAGGTATTTTTGCCAAATCACATTTGATTACAATAAAGACTTTCAAAGTCTAAATATTTACTTATTTGTTAAAATGGTTACCTCTTTACCATTTCATCACTTCCCTATTGAAATGGTTTCCATCCAGGGCCACGTGTACTGTGTACACAATGCCATGTGAACAAAAAAAGGATGCATTTCATAACAAGTTTACATGTTTTAGTTGCAAGCCCTTGAGATTTGGGAACTTGAGGAAATATAAAAACAACACCATATATATCAACCTTTTAAAGAAGTCCAACAGGTTCCCTTTAACATATTTCTTAGCTGACTGCAGGATTTCAAATCATTAAAGCTACCTAAGAGGGGATGAATCACAGTGTTTAAATGGTCACATTAACAGCTCCACAAAGCAGCTCAGCAGTATGCAGAGTCCAGACGGATGACAAGCAGTGTAGCCCATGAAGAGTTGGAGACAATGAAAACCTGAAAGAACATTTGGAACACCCCCAAAAAAATATAATTTTCCCAATATTTTTAGAGTGCAAGTTCTTTAAAAGAGCTTGAGTTTTTGTTGATGGGACAGATAAAAACGATCTATCATAATCTTCAAAATCAAAAGTCCAGCATAGTCTTATATATTTATTTTCTTTATTTTCATATTTAGTTTATTTTAGAAATGTCCATGCTTCACAGATCTTAACAGGTCTTTCAAGATGCATAACAGTCTCATTTCAAAACACCCCACAGTTGCCCTAGTGGTGTAAAACTGTTATCCAGATGAGCTTTTGTGGTTTGAGACCTATCAGACTCAACTTTTTAGGTTCTTTAATTTTTGAGCATCCTCGTGATTTGTCATCTATAATGCACGATTTGAGTTGAATATTGAAAAGCACATGAATAACTCATCACATCACATGAACGCAACCCTATTTAAAAACAAAAGATATATGACTTATATCAAGGCCCTACTATGTTTTTGCATTGTGGACAGAATTTGCTCTTGCATATTATGAAAAAGGTCTAGATTCAATAATCCAATAAATAATCTCTTATAAGAATAGAAAGAAAAAACTAAAAGATGCATGTCTGTTTTTTCTTAATTCTATATCCCCTCCACTTCAAACGCTTTCCTCCAAAATATTGTTGTCCTCTATTACTTTGGATTTTCTAATGGAGTCCCATTCCTGTCAAAGGGTTAGGGCATATATCGCATAGAAGATCAGTATACTACAAAAGGAAGGAAATTCCCTAATCTTAGAAAGCCTACATATTTGCCCCCTCTACTATTTGATATTTGTCTAGTGAAAGAATGAATATGAATATATAAAACCAGAGCCCCACAATTAGAAAAATGTGCTTTCAGTCCAAGTCCATATAAGGTGTAAAAGACACTATTAAAGGCAACTGTATAGGTAAGAAAAACAGAAGCATATGTATATCCGTCTGACTATAACTTTTGAAAAAGCTACCACTTGTCTTAGCTTTGCAGCAGCACAGGTCCTCTGAGATTCTGGACTGTGACAGCAAAACACTTCATTTACAGAAACCAAAGGGATTATAACATAGTGAAGACATATATATTTTTAATGGCCCATTATCGGAGTGAAATTGCATCCGCACTTTTGGCAGGAGATACTTGCCTACACCTTGGCTTTAACTGCATGCAGCCCATTAGGCCTCTATATTGAGTAATAACATAGTTTATTAGATTGAGAGCTGTGGATTGGTCACTTCAGAAGAAAAAAAAGAGAAGGGAATAGGAGTACAGATCTATATCAGGCATTTTACCACCAGTATAAGGTGCATAGATTCTCTTTTTTTTTCTAAACCTTCTGATACTCAAGCTTTTATTTGGTTTGTATTTTTGCTTTCTCCAAGACATATGCTCTTACTAGGGCCTAATAAGTTTATTAACTAGACAGTCATTGCACAGGAAGTAGTTTAGCCTCATAGGGACAGTGGGTTTATCTTTTTGTTCAAATTTATATTTAGGTATTTAAAAGTTTTCTTTGTAATGTGACTCTGAAGGTCCAAATTACATAATCACAAAAAATTGAATATACAATAGAGACATGACTGGTTTAAAAGGTGGGCAATACCTTGTAATACTTTAATGTCCTGCTCAGCATATTTTTGACTGATTATACATGGTCACAGATATACTATATACTAGAGACTTTGCAATTAAACTAGCTCTTAAATTCAGGTTAAGTATATGATGCCTTAGTTAAGCATGAAAAATGACATTTTTTAAATAAAATGTCACACTTTTACCATAAAGTTTCAACCCAACAAGCCGTGAAAATGAATTGATTCTGTTTGTTATTGCTCCATAGAAATGTAAAAAAGCAATGGTTAAATAACACTAACATCCAAGCATAGATGTTAGTTTTATTTGTCTGATAGTGTCTATGAAAGTAATAGGTCAATGTTGAAAAATAATTAAGTATGGTGGTTCAGAGAGGCAAAAATGCAATGTCCTGACAAGGAAAAAAGGTTTCAGGAGGTTAAATTAAAAATTTTCACCTGTTGACTCTTTGATGCCACTTTCCTGGCACAAAGTAGACAGAATTTTACCACTTTGAAAATGGTTAAAAATGGTTTTCAAAAGCATTTGGTGTAATCACTTAACTATTGTATGATCCGAAATTATGAGAGAGGCAGACGTGTTGTACCAAAGCAAAAACCCTTCTCAAATCCAGTCAGAGTTTAAATGACTCACTTCTGATCACTCCTGTCTGCCAAAACATTTACTTTGATAGTAGTGCCCACATTTGCCGACTACCTGGCTGCTTAATACACTTTTTCCCAAACAGGAATGTGCACAATTTCCATACTTTGCCTCTGAATATTGGCTTAATCTTATTGTTAATCTGAGGATCTTTTTACTGTCTGGTTTTAATGTCTGATAACGACCAGATGGTTATAATCATTTCTAAAAAGGGCCTGACTTCTGAAACCATAGAAATATAATAGGTTTTCATTTCTATATTTTTGTACTAGTACACATATGTTATTCTATGTGTGCTAGTAATAGAATAATATTCTATGTGTGCTAGGGTTGCTGCAGGCACATTCTTATTCTTCAGCAAACATCACTGACAAGTCAACAGTCAGCCTCCAGGGTCAACGGTTTTCTGATTGCTCTCAGCAGTACACTGTTTCTATCTCAGTCCACTTTTCATTCCCTCTCTTGCTTATTATAAATCTCATTATGACGCTCTCCATCTATTCTGCTCTCTCAGAGACTTTCCCACTCAGCAAAGATCTATATGCCTCTTTCAGCTGGTTAAAACCTTTATTTTTTTTCAGTCTCCATAGACTCTCTCACTCATTTTCTGTCCATCTTGTTGCAGCCCAGATTTATTACTGCAATCAGTCAGTGTTCCTGCCTTCTGCCACATTCTGTGGAAACCATTATGCATATGTTGTTATAAAGTACACTGGAGTTACAAAACGCTTTAGGAAGATGAACTGAGGTGAATGAATGCTGTGTCAACAAAATCAAATTTACCTTGACTCGTTAGGGAAATCTTTATAGTAATAAGTGAAAAAAAATGTAACTTTTGCAAAGTTAATAGTCATATCCGACGCCCTGTGGTCAGCAGTGCTTTGATATGCATAATGTAATTAAGATTTGGCTCATTTCAGTTGCAAGGAAAATATTGTGTTACATTTAATTTGTGACTTTAGTCATATAAAGTCTAAAAACTATTCTGAATATACAGGGGATTTCAAATATATTTAATAGAATGAAATTGGAATATTCCATACATTCCAAAAAAACGCACTGAATAGATGGATACTAGAAACTGAAACAGAAAGTCAGTCTGACAGAAAAAAGAAAAAAAATATTAACAAACAAACAGCAGTAAGGCAACATCGCCAAAAATAAGTGTAACAAGTACTTTTTCCGCGTACGACTGCCCAACATGCGTTTGAAACTCCATTCCTTATTACTTGTATCTGAAATTGCCTATCCTGCTGGACTGGATAAAAATGTTTGCTGCCACCTGCTGATCTTGGCATAAACAAAAGTGAACTCCATGAGGCTGTATATGTCTGTGTATATACAAGCAGTGCCAAAGGCAAAGGTTGAGTGCTATGAATAATCAATCCATTGATTGATTTAAATATTAAGAACGTATCATTAAAAAGTAAGACAGATATACATAGTAAACTAATGATACAGGAATGGTGAAAACTAGAATAAGCCAGAGATAGCATGAGTAAAAAGGGTTAAATAAATTATAACTCAAAAATAAAGGTAAGAGTTTCCAGTGTAATATGGGGAGCATGTTGCAAGCCCCTGTGACCTTGTGTATTTATGCAGGTGTACATATGAAATGTATATTTATACATTTTCATATGTTTAAAAATGTATGTGAGACTGATAATTTGGAGCATTACAGCTCCAGTTAGGGGGTTGCATAGCCACACTACAGACATTTTGCTGATCAGCCTTTCTCTCAACACTAAATTGTTGGGAATAAATTCTTAGGCCCAGGTGGAAATGTTGCCTGGCGACTTCCACACTCCATTAAGCTTCTTCTGTCAGTGTAAGCAAAGGCAGTTTTTATGCAATATTTATTTAAAAAGACCTGTGGGCTCCTGGACACCATGAGCAGCAGGAGGCGGTAACAGAGGATGCAAACAGCTGAACTACTGGATCATCACACAGCAGATTAATGTGCGTTTCATAAGCACAGAGTAAAAACATCTGCCCACATACCCACTGCTCTTCATGAATAACAGGGATTACTGAGTAGACACAGTACTTAATGCTTGGACAATCTGAATTTAAGAATCTTATCCAAACATTACTGGTTAACCTGTAATGAACATTTTTGTATATCAACACAATCAATCCAATCAAAAACCCTGCTTACCCGAACACTGTTATTCTTCATAGTGCATTTCAACTTGTTGCACTATGGTGAAGAACAGATGGAAAAGCTGTTTCTTTTATTCTATGGTACCAGTTTCTTTATCAAAACAATAAGCAGAATGTGGCAATTTATAGCACAGAATAGAGCTTGATCCTCTATTTGTCCTTACATATGAGAAAAAGGTTATGTAGATGGAATTCTACTACTACTAGTGTCAGTATATGTAGTTTTGTACGCCCCCCCGAAAACCCCACAAACACTTTTTAAATGTTAGGTAAAAAAAAAATCTGCAAATTAGAATTAGATAGATGGTAGAAAATGCTAAAAATGCTTACCAAAGTCTCCGGGGACAAAGATATCATAGACACAGCTCTGGCTCCTGGAGTAATTATGTGGGTAGTTTGGGGAAAGAACAGTTCCCTCTGAACCAGTGAAGTGACCTCCACAGGGAGCTGCAGGGACAGGAAGGCAAGCAAAAGAGAAGAGAAAGTTAACAAACATTCAAAAAGTGTATAAAGAAATTCTTATCATACCTGGGGGAAAAAGGGCAATGCAGTATAATCAGCGAATTTGCTGTAACTGGCACAAGTGCAGAATAAGCAGTTCACATAAAAAATTAGGTAAACAGAAAAAAACTAAACTCTTATGCTGACAAATATGATTCATAATTGGAAAGGAGGTCCACTTCTCAGGGAGACTTCAAGGACGTCTTCAAAGTGGTAGACTGGAGAACAGGTGGTTAATGAGGATATGCGTCATGTTTACAGAGAACAATAGTATTTAAAATGCTTAAGAGAAAAAGTCACCAAGGTGTAATCAGTAGAAAGCATTCAGACTGTTTTGAATGTTTTAAATTAAACTATTTATCAGACTCTTTAACAGGGATTCAATTTTAATTTTTCCGTCATATCTACAGACACAAATAAATAAAAAAGATCCTCATTGTTTGGTCAAATTATTAGGAATAAAAAAAAAACTTGTCTAATTTACTAAATAAGCTATTACAACTTTTTGATGTGACAAGCTCTGGTTAGTTTTATTTTCTCGTGTATTTCTAAGTCTTTTAAAGATCAACACAAAATGCCAAACCTCTTCACTATGGAGAATGTGTGTGGATACTGAATCACTGTCCCAGGGTTTTTGGAACATGTTGCAGACATTCAATTCATAAAGTCAACTTTTTGTTGTTTTTTGAACATGCATTTTACAGAATGTCCCAAATTCATATGAAATAAAACATTTTAAAGAGTGGGTTCTTATTAACAATGTCTGAACCAGGTCTGTGTAGAACTTCAATTGGTGTTCACAGTTTTCATCAACACTAACTATCCACAGTAGGTGACATTGTTTAGTCCTTAGCCAGTGTCTTAGGTTCTGCATGCATCTGGTGTACAGGAGAGAGGACACAGGTCCTACTTCAGAAGTTCTGGCAGTTTGGCGGCATCCCAATTATGAGAGGTTTCCAGTTGAGATCAAACTCAGTTTGATCATCACTATACCTCAGCTCAGTTATTACAAAAAGCAGAAAGGTTTTTTTGTAGTGTCTTGAATCTGGGTAGATGACTGAAATTTAATTTATATTTATTTAAACAAAGAGGGGATCATTAGAGGACAACAGATCTAATGTAATGAATACACTCAGTAGTGATTAAATATAACGAGACAACAGTTTTGAAAATGTAAAATATGACAAGCAAAACCAGTGTAACTTACTAAATAAATCATAATCCACAGCATAATGGTATGCTACACATAAGCATACATTAAACATATGTTCATGTGTACTGATGAGTTAAATGGTAGCAAGCCAATGAATAATTGCACGCCTCCCGACAAACAGTGTTTCACAATGCAGGCTAGAATGTGATTCTCACTCTTTCATCAATTTATCAGCATGTCCAGAGGCTACATCTCTATATGAGTTCTTAGATGAAGTCAACTTCTCTCCGTGTCTTGTTGTCCTCAGTTGAACACAAACAGTTGTGAGGTCTGACAGGAGGTTCAAAAGCAAAGGATCACTGTGACATTCTTATCAACTTTGGGTAAAATTAACCTACTTCACAAAGTAAATAACTTTCTCCACAGATGTTGTACTTTGTAAGCCCTCACTTAGTTTAACTGTACGTTCATCGGGAAATGGTAGTTGTTAAAGGTTATGAATAATAGTTGATAGAAATGTACGTAGTGAAGTGTACATGTGACTGATACACAGTTAGGCAGTTACAAAATGTAAATGGTTTTGTCCCACATATTTTGTATTCATACTTTGAATTCTGTCATGTCACATGAATATTACCTGACAGAAAGCAATAACCTGGGGATTTGTTGCCATGGAGAAATTGTACAACCACGAACTATAACAATGCATGTAAAATCACATGTAAGATTACATATTAGACACTCGGCTGCACATCCATACAAGTCTTGTGAACATGAATCATACGATACTACACATTACTATATTAAGAAAGGAAGAGTTTTGAGTACATTTATTTGTACGTGAAAGATGATCTGGTTCCATATGATCTGGTTCCATATGATCTGGTTCCATATGATC